GAACCATGTATGCCACCTTGAATTCGTAGGAGAAAAAGAAGGGATAAAAGTGCAATAAATAAATAATATGTAACACATTTACTCTTCACTTCAGTAACAGTCCACCTTCTCCACTTCAGAGGTTCTGCTTTTAATAAGAAGACTGTAAGAACAGGCCACATGGAAATCCTTGTTGTTACATGCCCTTTTCTAACAACAAATAGCAATTTGTCATGTGAAAGCTCTGAAGGAAATGATGCAAATGTTACTCATAATTTATTAGCCCACGTATTATTAATTATGAACATGATAGCCATTTTTTAAAACTTCTCTTGACCTTCTAGTGTTGCATGACTGAGGAGCTCAAAGTGTAACTCAAATATTTCATTTCCATCTCTTCTCTTTTCACAACCAAAATTGAGTTGGATAGCATTGTTTTTTCCATCGCATGAAATTGAATAAGAGCAGCAAGACCAGTCAGCAATTAAAGTTAGAGAACAAAAGGTCACATGAAACTGGCTTTCTTTGTTCTAATTTATACATCAAGTGGGCTGTTTCAGCTAAGTGGCAGACCCCCACACATATGAAAAGTTTAACCCACATCTTCTAGTTGCTCAGTTTCTTCTGTATACTCAAACCAACAAAGTTCATCATTGAGAACACAAGGTGGAGGAAAAGGGGAAGCACCTAATACTCCTTATCAGAATTAATCTGAAGGTCTTTCTTTGGTTCCAACCCCCACCCCCACCCCAAGATCCCACGAGGCGAATCAACTGACCCAAGGGAAGAATGTAGAAGGTTATAATGATCTTTGGCAGGAAAGCAGCCTGATGAGCAGCAACGACTCTCCATAAGTTTATTTACAGGAAAAAACGTATCCAGAGAATGGCCTTCCTGCCTGTTCTCATTAACAGTAGTTGCTCAGTCTGACTTATCGTCCCTCCCCCAACAGGAAGAACACCAAAATCCCTCCTTTCTTCTCCTTCCCTTCTGTTGTTCTCTGAGCTTCTCCAGTCTCCTAGTACAGGGGCTGAACGGCTGGCCTATTTGTTTCTCACACCCAGAAGACACAGCCTCAGATTCTGGCTTATCTGCTAGTTGCCTGGCAATGCTCGGGCCAACTTCCAACTCTTCCTCTCCTTGGGACCTAACAGCTTCTTCCTCTCTAAACTCTGACAAACAGCTCTCATTTGCAGAGTCGGACCCTTGCTCGCTTAGCTCAGTTTCTGAGGCTGACTCTTCTGCTGCGCTGGGGGGGGGGGCACGTTCCTGACAAAGCTTTTTCACAGAGTGTATGTTTGGACTCATATGCCATATACTGCATCCCAGTGACTTCGGACACAATCCTAACCTCTGCTCTCTGCCAGTAGTGCTTTTTGGACTGGTGGGGCCACCACTGCATCCACAGCCCTGCTGTTCACAGTGGCTGTGGTGGGACGTTGAGGGCAGCAGGAGAAGATTTGGCCTGATGCCATCACACAATGGCAGTAAGACGGGCTCAGGATGCAGCAAACAGTGAGACCAGTGATGGCTGGCTTAATCCATGCACACCTAGCCCAGAGTAATAGCGGTTTGGATCACTCTGCCAGTTCAGTGATGCACGTGATCAGATTTTAACAGCACAAATATTGAATAGCAGTAAAAGTAAGAGAAAAGAGAATTAGACAGCCCAGCAACAGAACCACAGAGCCATATTATTAGTATATACTCAGGTCTGGCTTCACCATTAGACGGAATGAAGCAGGCACTTCAGGCAACTGATTTTGAGTCTCATGCAAGAGCAGCAAATATTAAATAATTTAATTTATCACCATTTTATTTTTACTTCCAGGGAGGTATGAAGGTACTTCAGGGGTTTTCTGCATCAGGGCCAGAATAACTTGACTGACTTTTAATACTATGCACCATGAATGTGGGCGAGGGGGTGGGGACCATTTATTTTTCTACCTCTGGCAGGAAAAACTCTTAAGCCAACTTGTAAGTCTTCAGAAACCCAGGTTTATATATCAAAATGTAAAATGAAATTAATTTACCAATCCAGAAAGCACAAATACGTTGTTACAGAAACATCTACAAATCAACATTTTTCACCTAGAGCAATTATGTCTTCAAAAGTGAAACACAATTTTATTTTTCCCCACCTTCAGGCGAATCTTAATTGTCTGTCTAGAATACTGGAAAGCCTTTAAAACAAAAACAAAAAAACAAAGCATGCAGCCTCCTAATTACTCTGGTTTTGTAGCTGTGATAGAATGTTTAGAAACTAAATGTTGGGTTTCCGAAACAACATTTGGACTAATCTAGTGCTTTCCCGGAACTTTTGTACTCATATTTGCATATGGTTCTGCCAGTTCTCATTGGACATTTCCTAGTTTGGCCAGTGACCAGTTTTCCCTGCATCTGACCTTGTCTCTTCTCCATATCTAGGGATAGCCCCTCTGAAGCACATGAACTTTGCCCTTGAAGAGGCTTTCTTCATACAAGATTTTGTGGCTGTCATCTTGGGACTTACCCTGACATTTAGGCAGTGCTTTTTTTTCTAAAAAAATGTTTAGGCGTACTCTAATTTTCCTACTCATATTGAAATAATGTTCCTCAATGAGGCCAAACTTAGATTCAGAAAATGTTTAGGGGTATGCGTACCCCTGCGTACCCCCAGAAAAAAGCACTGCATCTAGGGATATAACAGATTAAAGAAATAATGTGCATAAATGTATTAGCTGACTGGCATGACCATTTTAGAAGTTAGGTTACAATCACGTGAGCTTTTTTTTTTGGTCTTACAGCAAACACGATTCTGTGACATCCACACCGTACATAGCTCCCCGCCAATCCTGGAAAAAAGTAGTTTACCCCTCACAGAGCTACAATTTCTCAACTCCCTTAACAAACTATAGTTCCCAGGATTCTTTGAGAAAGTCATGTACATTAAAGGTATGGTCTGGGTGTGACCTTTGACTGCTATTTGAAAGGTCCTCTGCAGCTGATTATATTTTAACCAATGTTCTAACTAAATTATCCCAACTCTGATTTATCTCAGATAAATATCCTCCTTTAGTCAAGCCTCAGAGGATAACAAACAAAAAGGACAAACATGACTAGATAAATATTGTTCTAGAACGAGATGGGATATAGGCAGCATACAGAACAAGTGGGAAAGAAGAGCCCCACCTTTCTATTTACAAACCAAAGCATCCTTCAAATGTTGAGAGATGTATGTGTCTTTTACAGCCTCAGGTGAAAATGAGCATGATTGACACATAAGACACAAGCACCAAGAGGAGGGAGCAAAGAGGTAAACTCTCAACTTTGTTGTGTCTATAAAATGTACCAATTCAAGTCCAGCCTTGTGAATGACAGACTGAGCGCAAGGAGACCATGGAGTGCAGTGATCCAGTGTTTTATTATTGAGAAGAGTCAGGTGAATGGTTAGATGAAAAGCTGTCATGTGAAGCCATGTTTTATTTCAGGACCAAGTGGATAAGCTTCTATTGATAAAATTAGAATAGGAGAATACGTAAGATACCACTTGAGAGGCGGTTGAAAATAATACACAAATAAGCTTTCCTAAGTCATATAGCTAAATACCAGGTGCTTGGGAGCTTGAAGGCATCTAGTCCAGCATCCTGTTCTCACAGTGGCCAACCAGATGCCAGTGGGAAACCAGCAAGCAGGATCTGAGCACAAGAGCATCTCTCTCCTCCTATGGTTTCCAGCAACTGGTGTTCAGAAGCTCCCTCCAACTAAGGTAGCCATTGACAGCCTTCTCCTCCATGAATTTGTCTCATTCTCATTTAAAGCTATCCAAGTTGGTGGCCATCACTGCCTTCTGGGAGACTGAGTTCCATAGTTTGACTATGTGCTGTGTGAAGTACTTCCTTTTATCTGTCCTAGTTTCCCCCCCAGCATTCAGTTTCATTGAATGTCCATGAGTCTTCGTATTCATTCACAAAGCCCCAAGCAACTTAGGTCCAGGGTAGGGACCACTTAAACCCTTAGCTCAGTGGTTTTCAACCAGGGTGCCTTGAATGGTGGTCAGGGGTGCAGCGGGCAACACTGGCCTCTGTCCTTCTTTCTTCCCCTCCCTCCTCTGATGCCCTCTCGTGTCTCTGCATCCCAAAGGCCTGCACAGCTGTTTGTTGCAGCAGCCCTGGCTACAAGCTCTCCAGATGAATGGTGCCTCTGGGGGCAGCTCAGAGACCAGAGGCGATGGCAGGGGCTGCCCAGAGGACTCCCAAGGAGAGGAGGCCGAGGGAACACTCCACAAGGGAAGGTGTTTGAAATAGGGTGTGAGACTGCCAGCTCTGCAGGCAAGGGGTGACATAACTGGGCTCCTGAGCCCCACAGGGGTGCCACAGAAATAATGTAGTTGGTCAAGGGAGCCATGGACTCAAAAAGATTGAAAACCTCTGCCTTACCTTGATCACTGAGATCATCTGAGGGAGCATTGTTGGTTATCTCCCAAGTTGGCGTGGCTCATCGGGCAACGCCAAGAAACTGAGTCTTTAGTGCAGCACTCAGACAACAGAGATTCAGCAGGCGCCTTCTCTGTGAACCTTGACATGCTTGCTAAAAACTTTTTTATACTGCCATGCTTAGTTTAGGCAATTAAGAAAGTATCTTTCTGTAATAGTTAGTTGATGGTCTGTAATTTTAATTTCCCCCACTGCATTGTTGCAATCCACTTTGGTACTTCTTTATGATACAGCAGTGTGTAAATGAATAAAAATAAATTTAGCCTGGGCTAGGCTTTCTCCCTGCCTGCTACATGTTGAAATCATTGCCAGAGTGGACCCTACCTGAACTGTGCATTTAGTCATTGGGGTTGAATTCGTGGAGAAGCTTTGAGCTGTTGTTGTTAGTTGTTTGGGGGAGGGGGTTGTAATCTAGAGACATTCTGTGATGTGCATCCATCTGCTACTTAACGGGAAAAAAGACTAAAAATTTCAGAGCAAAAATTCATTTACATATACTGAGAAAGGTCTTCTACCCTTTCTCAACATCTAACCAAACATATCTGTGTTATTTTGTAAGATCTTGTATTCAAGGTTATGTTTGAACGTTTTGAGTAGAAAGAGAGGCCTATGGCACCAAGAGAATGTTTAACTTGCTTTGGCTATCTGGTTTGCTTAATGCTTGTCTAAATCTGAGCTGAGTCAATAAAACTTTGTCCATTGAGAGGCAGACCTTTCAGCACACAACCTGCCTGTCCCAAAATGAAGTCTTGCAAACATATTTTTGTGTTGCTTTTATTTCTCTTCTCAGGTAAGGTTGCTTTTACATTGCTTTTTTTAATGATGCAAGAATGTGGACAAGGTTTTCAGAAATAGTTTGTAATCTTCAAACCAACTTAAACTGGATTTATCCTCTAGACTTGAAATAGGCTGAGCCCGTGTAAGTGTTTGAAATGTAGTGTCCTTATATGTTTAATGCTGATACCTAAATAATTTTTTCAAATATATTCTATAAAGACAATGGATTTTCTAAATGCTTTGCAATCTCAAGAACTATGGTACTAAAAGGATTGGCTCGGGGATTCTGTGGTCACATTTAATGTAAGCTAGGATGCTTTTATGCTGAAATTTTCCAAACACCAGGTGTTTGGATTTGCAAACTATGACCCATATAGCACTGCTTAATTATGTAGGTACGAAGATACAGATTAGTCTGTTCTATGAAACATATATTGTGCCGTGCTGTATTTTGACTCGGTCCTTTTATTGTATGAATATCCTCCATTCCCCTCTTATAAATATATTCTCTTCTTTATATGAATATCCTCCATTCTGCCTTTAGCTCAGGGAAGATTAGTTATGCTTCTCCAGACTGTCGCACCCAGGCAACTTTCAGAGCAAGATATGCTTAGGTTCAGCCACAGAACTGTTTCGTATCTCATCAGACCATTCTCTTGCTTCAGTAATGTTAGTGTAATAGGCAAAAACTACACAGGATGATAAGCTGCACACATTTCGTGTTGTTTCAGGGATGCTTTCAACTGTCCCTTAAAGGGGAGGCAGCAGCTTCATAGGAAGGAAACCTGAACGATTTCTTTTGGGTAGGAGACCTGGAGCCTCTAACTCAAGGCTAGTCAATTTGGTGCACTCTAAAAACGCTGTTGGACTACAATTCCTGTCATCCTTGACCACTGGATTTGCTAGCTGGGGCTAATGGGAACTGGAGTCCAACATCTTCTGGCTACCTCAGCTCTAACTGAAGTAACTCAGCAGCCATCTTAACTACAAGGTGTTTCTTCTTCCCACAATCCACTTGGAGGCAGAATGTGCAAGACTAACTTTCTGGGCTATATAAGTAGAGTGCAATCATAACCATGAAGTCCGTGGTTCATTAAAAACTGAGAAGGGGATCTGAGATCATGGTCCCAAGGCACATGATGCAACAACTTCAGAAGATCTGGGTTTGCTCATCACTTGTATATCCCCTGAGCTCTATTCATGGAAGAAAGGATATAAATATTAATCAAAAAATAATACCTTTCCAGGTGTGGCACTTTAGTTTGGTCCACTAGTTTGTCATTGGAGGTAATCTCATTCACAGCATGGTTTGTTCATATGTATTTCGATGCAAGTCAATGCATAGATAAGGGACATGCCTGCTGTGTGCATTTGTCTTGCAACACCTGTGCAGTGGTCACTGTTTTCTTCACATGCATCTCTTCCCTTGGCTTGGTGAAAGGTAGGAAGGAGGGCTCTGTAGAGCAACCAGAAACCAGGGAGACAGTGGGGAGAAAGCAAAAGAGAATGCTTCCTGTTTTGATGGTTGTAAGAAATGCTTTGGGTTAAACCACAGAGCCTAGGACTTGCTGATCAGAAGGTCGGCGGTTCGAATCCCCGCGACGTGGTGAGCTCCTGTTGTTCAGTCCCTGATCCTGCCAACCTAGCAGTTCGAAAGCATGTCAAAGTGCAAGTAGATAAATAGGTACCACTCCAGCGGGAAGGTAAATGGCGTTTCCGTGTGCTGCTCTGGTTCGCCAGAAGCGGCTTAGTCATGCTGGCCACATGACCTGGAAGCTATACGCCGGCTCCCTCGGCCAGTAAAGCAAGATGAGCACCGCAACCCCAGAGTCGGTCACGACTGGACCTAATGGTCAGGGGTCCCTTTACCTTTACCTATGTGATGTTTTAGAAAAATATTTCTAATTATCTAATTATTCTAATTATTTCTAATATCGTTCTAATAACATTTAAAAGGTCAGTGTAGATCCAGCCAAAGAGCTGCAACCACACAGCACTCTTTAAGATTTGGTCACAGTGGCCTTGATGCAAAGGCCATCTCAGCCAATAGACAAATTTCATTGGACTTTGGAAGTGGTTCTATAAATCTGTCCACAAAAATTAGTACCATGTCTCCTTCAATTCTTGGTCTTGACTCAACAAATATTGCATATCTATAAGAGCTGCCCGATAGAACTCAGTCTAATGATCACAGTCTAAAGCTGCAATCTTCACTGGTCTACACAGAAGCAAGCACTATTGAATTCAATAAGGCTTACTCCCAGGTGAATAGGATTAGGGTTGCCAGTATGATTCAGAGCAACCCTTCTTACCCTTTTATTGGACATCTATAATCTCACACAAGCAAGTGTGCCCCTCAGCTACTAATACAGACGGTTCCTCCTTTTGTTTCAAAGCTTAAAACCATTATACAGTGGATACTGTTTCTGCATTTAGTAGCCAGACACCACTCACTGACAGCTTTCTCACTGCTGAGCTGAACAGGGCAACAAAGCATTTTCAGTAGATTTAGCTTTTAATCTGCAGTTGTCTGGATGTTAGAAGATTACTTCTCCAAAATAAATAAATAATTTTACAAAGATTAACAAAGTGTTAGACTATATGATAAGATTTTACTGGTGGGTTGGGTCTGCACTCAGTACTTGCATTGAACAAATTGGACTCTGTTTTCCCTGGTCATTTTCCCTCATCACTGGATTTCGGAGCATCTATTTAAAGCCCAGATTACATAGTTATTATGGTCAATGTGTAGGCATTCCCTCCTCTGATTCTCTCCCATTTTGGTTTTTGCTGCAGAAAAATCAAATGACACACTCATAGTGGTAAAATAAGCTAAAGAAAGCAATAAATGATTTTACTGCCTTTTACATGAGGCCGATAGCCTGCCTCCCTTTCCCTCATCCTAATGCAGATCCCTTTAGCAAGGCAAAATGGGTGACCTGAAGTCATTATGCAGCAAGTTTCTCCACCCAAAATGTCAGCCAATGAACTGGAGTGGGAATGAGGGCACTCACAGTGCTATGATATGACATCATGAGACACTGACATGACATCATGAGAAGCTCACACGATAAAGAGGCAATCTTCATAATGGCAAAATCCAAAGAAGAAGCATCTTGAATAAGATCTCAGAGAGGGTGACCATGTGTCCTACTTTGCAGAAGACAGTGCTTTATTGAAATAGTTGTCAGAGGATAGCCCTTTGTTCAAAGGAGTCCTCTATTTGAATGGCTGCCCAGTCCTAGTCTGGTTTAAAGCAACTGGACAGTGGACTGAGTGGTCATCTATGTTGTGATGGCACATGACAACCCCAACATGTGCCTCAACACATCAAAATTGCCCAGATAAGTCACCTTTTCCCAATAATTTTGTTACTGTTTTTATTAGCTGCCGCATTTTCACCTTTTAATCTTGCCTCTTTGCTCATTTTCTTTTAGTTCAAGGAGATCAGCTTGATGAAGACTATGTAAGAACAGATGGTGCATGGATACTTGGTCAACAAAGCCAGGTCTATAGGACCCTCAATATAGAAGGATGTGCACAGAAATGTGAAGCTGAAACAACATTTACTTGCAGGTAACCCTGACACTGTTACATCCTGTCAAGGATGCCCAAATGTCCTAATGATCAGTTATGACCACAAATGTTTTGTATCCATTAAGACTAGGGTAGCCATGTGTTCTACCTAAAGAGGACATTTCTCTCTTTGAAGGGTGCCCAAATCTGGATTAAATGTGAAGAGCCATCAGAAGAGAGAGCAGGGGTCTTGAAGTTGGCCCTCAATGATCAGCACAGGGGTAACCAATGTGGTGTCCTCCTGATGTTGTTGGACTATCACTCCCATCAGCCCCAGCCAGGGGGGCAAATGTCCAGGGATGATGGGAATTGTTCCACCTTGGTTTCCACACATTGTTTTTTGGGTCCAGGTTCAGATGACACAACATGGTTTGTTTCCCAGGAGTACAGCGGTGGAGGAGTGAAGTGCCTGTTCATATGAAGCCATATTTTATTTTAACTACAGTTTAATGGGACATGTGAATCAGGTTGATCACATTTCATAATAACAGGCTTGATGTAACTTCTGCCTTGATGTAATTTTGTATGAATGACTTTCAGTGAGTGAATTCAATGCAATCAAAGATGGATAACATTATACTCAGATTGCATTCGCGCCCCATTCACATCTTGCCATTTCAACAGGTCTTTTATATTTGCCGTCAAAGATCAGCAATGCATTACACTGGGCGACAACACCAAAACAACAGTTGTGTTTAGAAGGGCAGATGCAATTCTCTTTGAAAAAAGAAGTAAGTGTATACAGCTTTTGGATATCATGTCTTCTCTAGCACCTTATTCAATGTCATGTATTCACAATATCTTACACGATTGACAGCCGAGGCCATTTGAAATCTATTTGATGGGTGTTTTTGTCAAAGAAACAGTGCCCTGAAGAGAAAGGAATTCCAAGGTCATTCATGGGCTACTGCCATCTTTTGTCACACACGACCTTAGCCTCAGTTTAAGGGGGAAAACTAGTTATTTGAGGAAATGAAAATATAGCTGCTAATATTGTTTAAGGTGTGGGTAATCTTTGGCCCTTCAGATATTGCCAAACTATAACTCCCATTATTCTGGCCATTGCCCATCCTTGCTAGGGTTGTTGGGAGTTGTGGCTCAGCAACATGTGGAGGGCCAGTGGTTTTGTGTGCCTGGTTTACAGGCTATTCTTTATTACTTGGAATAATTTCCAGAGAGAGAGAGAGAGAGAGAGAGAGAGAGAGAGAGAGAGATGTTTGGATTTGATATCCCGCTTTATCACTACCCGAAGGAGTCTCAAAGCGGCTAACATTCTCCTTTCCCTTCCTCCCCCACAACGAACAATCTGTGAGGTGTGTGGGGCTGAGAGACTTCAGAGAAGTGTGACTAGCCCAAGGTCACCCAGCAGCTGCATGTGGAGGAGCAGAGACGTGAACCCGGTTCCCCAGATTACAAATCTACCGCTCTTAACCACTACACCACACTGGCTCTCTGAAGAACTGAGTGGCCTAAAATAATTGAAAATGGCTTGAGTTAAGCCAGAGAGGGACTGCTGAAAACTCCAGAAATTAATGCAGCCCTGGAGCAACTTCAACTAGATCACTCCCTTCCAGGAAGGCTGCTCTTACGTTCTTAGTCTGGTATCCAATGGCTTCATACTCAAGGTGTGATGTTTGATTTTAAAAATGCTCTCAGGACCAAAGTATACATGACACTTCAGATATGTGAATTGGATTTCATAGAATCATAGAATCATAGAATCATAGAGTTGGAAGAGACCACAAGGGCCATCGAGTCCAACCCCCTGCCAAGCAGGAACACCATCAGAGCACTCCTGACATATGGTTGTCAAGCCTCTGCTTAAAGACCTCCAAAGAAGGAGACTCCACCACACTCCTTGGCAGCAAATTCCACTGTCAAACAGCTCTTACTGTCAGGAAGTTCTTCCTAATGTTTAGGTGGAATCTTCTTTCTTGTAGTTTGGATCCATTGCTCCGTGTCCGCTTCTCTGGAGCAGCAGAAAACAACCTTTCTCCCTCCTCTATGTGACATCCTTTTATATATTTGAACATGGCTATCATATCACCCCTTAACCTCCTCTTCTCCAGGCTAAACATGCCCAGCTCTCTTAGCCGTTCCTCATAAGGCATCGTTTCCAGGCCTTTGACCATTTTGGTTGCCCTCCTCTGGACACGTTCCAGTTTGTCAATGTCCTTCTTGAACTGTGGTGCCCAGAACTGGACACAGTACTCCAGGTGAGGTCTGACCAGAGCAGAATACAGTGGCACTATTACTTCCCTTGATCTAGATGCTATACTCCTATTGATGCAGCCCAGAATTGCATTGGCTTTTTTAGCTGCCGCGTCACACTGTTGGCTCATGTCAAGTTTGTGGTCAACCAAGACTCCTAGATCCTTTTCACATGTACTGCTCTCAAGCCAGGTGTCGCCCATCTTGTATTTGTGCCTCTCATTTTTTTGCCCAAGTGCAATACTTTACATTTCCCCTGTTAAAATTCATCTTGTTTGTTTTGGCCCAGTTCTCTAATCTGTCAAGGTCGTTTTGAAATGTGATCCTGTCCTCTGGGGTGTTAGCCACCCCTCCCAATTTGGTGTCATCTGCAAATTTGATCAGGATGCCCTTGAGTCCATCATCCAAGTCGTTGATAAAGATGTTGAATAAGACATCTCACCATCATTTTCCTAGCTTAAAATCACAAAACATTAATGTTCTTATAGGATGCCTTCCTTGTAGCCTTCCCCATCCTGGTGCCTTCCAGACGTTTTGGACTATAACTCCCATCATCACTGATCACTGACTGGGGCAGATAGGAGTTACACTCCAACAACATCTGGACTGCAGCAGGTTGAAGAAGGCTGTCTATATGCCATGCAGCTTAGTGGTGGGAGTTAATTGGGAAAACTAGATCACTCCCCTCCAGGAAGGCTGCTCTTACGTTCTTAGTCCAAAATTCGCTAAACAAGTATGCTCATGTTCCCATCAGCAGTTGAGAAATAGGTCATGTCAGCCAAGATCTTGACATTTCACGGACACTTCAAGACTGCTCCCAAAGGCTGCTCTGGGATTTCTTCAAGGGTGGAGAGGAAACAGCCAGCAAGGGAACAGATGTCTCCTGTAGGAGGATATTTGGCAATGACTTCCTCATTTCTTTCTCTGCAGTAGTGCTGGGCTAATACACAGGAGATCTTCAAACACAGCCTTTGATGTGGTGTTGGCAATAGATATCCCAAGAAAATGAAATCCCCATTGCCTGTATGCAATTGTTTGCCTATCTCTAAGTGTACATGCTAGATTATAGATTGTGAAGGTCTTTAAAGATCTTCATTTATCTCTTTTGTTTTTCCAAATCTGTGATGCAAAGACATTGCCACTGTCTGTATTGCATTTCTCTCACATGAAACATAATTCCTTTTTCTGACCCTCCTCCACAAATACTAAAAGTAGACAGAGTTTGCTATAATTGCTTCCCATGCACAGAGGTTTGTGCCAGCTGTCGCAATGATGTGACTTCATTGATGTACTTAATTGAAAACAACAAAAACAACTTTTTAGAGTGGTGTGTTTCTTATAAACTGGGTATTTTATTTACTCCCTTTCCCAGTATGGTTAGCATTTAATTAGCTAGAGTTAGCACAATCAACAGATTGTTTCACATGCACTTTTTAAATGCAGGATTAACTTCTGTTGAAGCAAATTGAGAAACTCTTCACTTGCACCTTTTAATATGAGACTAACTTCACTTGAATCAATTTTGGAAAAGTGTTCCTGTCTGCTGCACTAATTAGCATCTGGCAGACTGTTGGCAGCACTGAATAAATTATAGTTGTTTGGCAATTCCATTCCACCCTATTAACATGCTGCAGAGTCTTGCTGCAGTGACTGCAGGAAAGCTCTCTCACATCCCGGTGTGAATGGGCTTTTCCCAGGTCATGCAATGACTTCCAAAAGGGACTCTTAGCCATTAATTTATTTCCCTATGAACAGAGCTCTCCCCACCTGGACACACCCATATACCCCAATGCTACACAGCCACCAACAGTGGCTTGCTAGTTTCTTTTGATGTTTCCACACTTTGGGGCCACTTCCAGACCGACAGTTTATTTGCAAAATATTTAGTTCTTATCCCACACTTTTCTCATGGAATCATCCTGTCATTTTCTAGCCACAAGCAGTCAAGTAAGAAAACAGATGAAACTTTGCAACAGAAAGTGGGGAATGGCAACCACTAGCTGACAATGGACCCCTCAAAAAAAAATTTTTTGTGCGTGCATTCATGATTATTTGTGCTCATGATGGCATTGGGGCTGTTATACGTGAGATGGATTCCAGTACTTTTTGCACCTGCAAATGTTTCAGGGCAGGCATACTGCTGTATTTCCAGCTGGCACATGCCTCAATTCTTCTTGCTGAAATCCTGTACTTTAAAAAAAAAATACCACAAATGTTCTGGGGGAAGGAGAAGTTGTCCTGCTTTTGTTACAGCACAAGAATGCCCCTGTAGATGGCGATAATGTGGCAACACTGAAGAAGCACCACAGAACAATGAAGAAAGCCAAATGATGTGTGGATGGTCCAGCATTAATCCACCACTGACACACTATTATTGTGTTAATGGCATGTTGCAGAATACACCTGCAAGAAAAACACCACCCTGAAGGGGCCCAGTATCATATAAGCTCCACACAAACCTATCAGGATGAATGTTGCAGTCTGGAAACATTTTGGGTAGATTGACTTAGGCATTAAATATAGAGCTGCTATAATGGCATCATGATATTCTACAGTATCCAATGATGAAGAGTGGAGGGTGGGAGGAGGCACAATGCCATGACATGGGGTAAGCATTGCTGCTTACTGTGGGAGAAAGAAACTCAGCACAGTGCACTCATGCTTCTTCTGGTTCACACACGAAATGTTGTCTCTCTTGCTTGATCTGTCTAGCCCACCCACCTTGAAGCGCGAACCAGGCTGCCACCATTGTCTGTAACTTATTTCAGCTGCCACAATCGTAGGATTGTTTCTAGTTCAGTCCACATTTCCATTCTTTGCATCAGCAGCACTGATTTGTGTGCAGAAAGGAATGTTTTGTGTGAACCGGCCTTTCCTGGATAGTGGCCTAAGCGTGCAGTTCGAAGGAGGGTCTGTGCCGCACCACCTGGATTGCACTGCATTTTGTACAGTATTGTTCATTTCAGTAAATGGAAAGTCAGAACATTAGATTGGGGTGCATAAATAAATTGTGTGTGTGTGTGTGTGTTTGTGTGTGTTCATTAATTCTGAGTGGTGGTGCTGTATAGTAGCTGTAGCAATAATAATGATAAATAATAATAGTAAGCATTGTCTTTCAGTGTATCTACTTGAATGCAAAAGAGGAACTGGACAAGACTACAGAGGAACTGAATCTAAAACTCAGAATGGAGTTGCATGCCAGAGATGGGCAGCCACCACTCCTCATGTACCCAGGTATGATCTGTTCCCATCTGAGAATGAGCCGCTTTCCACTTCGTGCAATGTATAGATGTTCAACTAGACTTTGCTCTCTGAAATATGTAGGGCACAATTCGGTAAAAGTTAGTTGTGCCTAACAAACTCCAATTATCTGCTTAATTACTTGTGAGTAGGCCCCACTGACGTCTGCGCGACCAACTTCTGTGTAAAGATGCACAACATTGGGTTGAGAGTCCCCTTGATTAAAGCCCAATCTTTTGTGTGATTTTTTAGGATTAAGTCCCACTGAGTTAAGTAGTACTTATTCCCAAGAAAATGTGCAAAGGACTGCAGCTTAAGGTGGACCACCTTCTCATAGAAACCTGTAGTGCTGCACAAAGCGACTCTTATGCTAATAATATTCTTTTTAAACCTATTCATGCAAAACAGTATAAAAGAATTGCCTTTGAACATTATCAAAACAAAATATTCAAGGTTGTCCAACTAAGTACTTCTCTGAGTAGATCCATTGAAAGTAATAGACTTAAGTTAGTAATGTCCATTCATTTCAATGGGTTGTAATCATCATCATCATAATCATCATATTCATACCCTGCCCATCTGGTTGGGTTGCCCCAGCCACTCTGGGTAGCTTGCAACACATTTAAAAACATAATGAAATGTCAAATGTTATAAACTTCCTGATACAGGGCTGCCTTCAGATGTCTTCTAAAAGTTGTGTAGTTCTTTATCTCCTTGACGTCTGATGGGAGGGTGTTGTGGTGCTAAGGAGATCATTTCATCAGCGTAAGCATTTCTGTTTGTCTCTCTCCTCTTCACGCACATGCTGTTCTGGGGGGGATCTCTTGAACTTCCAGAACAGATTTGGGGGTGGAGGGAGTGTTCGGTTGCATTAGTGGGAATCTTTACGCTGGTTTCTGCTAGCATAATGGGTTCATTCAAAATGAAACAATGGTCTCTGAGTATGACTAACGTAGAACACAACCCTCAGTAATTACACATAGTCTTTAAAGACATTTCTTTTGCTGCTTCTCTCTCTCTGTCTCTCTCTCTCTCTCTCTCTCGTGTAACAAACATGCCTTTTAAGGATTTATGACTTTTAACCCGCTGCAATTCAAGCCATGAGCCAGATGATTGGCCAAGAAGATAGAATTTATGTACTTCCTGACTGCGATGGCAGTAATAGGTGGCAAAAGGATTCATCAGAGCCTGCGTTGTTCTGCAGTGACAATAAGTTATAGCTCTTACGGGGAAGCAATCCATGCTGAATTACTAACCTGACGTTTAGATAGGATAGGCAAGTAGCTATTCATTTCTCAGTGCCTCATTACTGTTTGCTTTGCATCCCTTGTGAAAATATTTGCCATATGAATAAAGATACTTTAGTTGTGCAGGACACCGAAAGAGCAACAGTTTTGTATAAACTCATGGATGCAAATGCAGTTGATTCAGACCAGAGCTAGTTGTTACAGCGGATGGGTAGCTGTGGTTGAAAGGAGCTGCAACACCATGTCTCCCTTCTGCTCTTTCCTCCAGTAATAGCTGCTGCTATAAGACGTATGGCATGTTCATATTATTGTCACATCCCTGCCTCTGCATGTAGCAGGCAATGGTGTTGAATGGGGAGATAGCCTATAACAGGGATGTCCAGCTTCTAAGAGACTGCGATCTACTCCCACTAAATTTTTTTTTTAAATTTGGCAGTGATCCCATTGTATTGATCCTAGTTGTTGAGCTTTTTGAGATTTTTTTAGGGAGGAAGACCCAAGGTTGTTTGCTTGAGCTTTTTCTCAAATTGCTTTGGCTCCCAAACAAATCAGCTCCCGAACGATTCAAACCTGGAAGTAAGTGTTCTGATTTTCAAACAATGTTAGAAGCCGAACGTCTGGCATGGCTTCCGCGGCTTCCATTTGGCTGCAGGAACTTCCTGCAGCCAATCAGAAGCCGCGCTTTGATAAGTCGGATTCTGTTCGACTTACAAGGTACGACTGTATTCTGTTTTCTTCTTTCTTTCTAGGTACTCGCCTACCACTAATCCTGATAGTGGATTAGAAAAAAATTACTGTAGAAATCCGGATAATGATGAGAAAGGTCCCTGGTGCTACACAACGGATCCTTCTACAAGATTTGATTTTTGCAACATCCAAGAATGTGAAGGTGCAGTTGAGCACACCAGAATTTTAATTTTACAAGGCAATTTTAAATGCAGCATATACTCAAGTATTGTTCTTTTTAATGATGAACAAACCCAGTTTTCACTTGTGCATGGCCACGTTATTCATAATATCAAAATACAAATATTGTAGCAGTGACTTTATAGAAGCATTACTCTTCTGATTAATTCTCACTAGCGTAAGCTGCTGTTGGGTTGTTTGGTAATCATTCGTAAGTGAACAGAAGAGATCCCCAAGACTTGATTTTAAGACACAGAAAATTGGATTACAGAAAAAAATCCACCTTGGCAATAATTAGTCTACGTTAATCCAATTTTGATGAAGCATCATTATGTTTTTATTCTATAATAGCCACTCTGGGATCATTTGGCAAAGAAGGGTCAACTAAAAGACAATATCACCCATACCACACCCACACACCAGCAGTTCCATTACCCCAACAAACATTGTACACGTGCTCTTAAAAACATTTTTATAATAGTACATAAGACAGCGTAATTAAAAACTTCAGGAAGGCAATATGAACAAATTGCTTATTACCTTAGATTTTGAAGGGCAGAGTAGCTTAGCTCCGACACCTTCAAGGAACCAGTCCTGATATAACCTGAGCTCTAAACTTCCTAGCGGCTTTACCAGCCTTATAATATAAAACCAGAACTTGATCACTAAGTCCTATTATTGTGTAGAGTAAGTGGGGAGCAGAAGACCTAACATTCCCCCATTCCTACTGCCTGTAAGACAAGAAGACAAAGCTGCATGACTCAAAGAGAAATATTTATCCTTACAGAGCAATGCATGTACTGCAGCGGGGAAAACTACCAAGGCAGGGTCTCCCAAACTGAATCTGGGCTTGAATGCCAGGACTGGGCTTCTCAGGAACCTCATGCTCATGGATATATTCCTTCAAAGTAAGTCACAAGTCAAAAAAACCTCACCAATTCAACTAATGGCAATTACCAATGGTGTGTGGAACAGAATGGGGCATAAAAGGATAGCACATTGAGTTATATGAAGGCTTCAGGCAGAAACCATTTATTTTGATGATTAATGTATTGCTCAATCCCGCAGTTTCTAAACAGTGTACAGTAGGCATACAGAATGGAGTCCGTCACTGATAACATAAAAAAAACTTGGGGGTAGAAGGCATCAGGTAATCCTAAAGGTATCCTAGACTCAGGTTGCTAAAGGCTTTGTAAATTAATACATAAGCCTTGGACTTGGCCTTAAAGAGTTATGTGCTGCTGCTAACCTGCCCTCGCCCACAGTCTCAGTGCAGCATTTTGCTCCAACTGGAGCTTCTGGATTAACCCCACATAGGGTGCAATGCAATAACCAAGACTGTACTATAGTTTCCGTTCTTCTGCCCATTGAAATGAATGGAATCTGTGTGAGATGTCTCTGGGTGTATCTAGGATATAGGAACTTCATGTGTAGAAACTACAGAGCTCAACATGTAAAATATGTGCTTGATTCCGAAGTCTTTGGCACATTGCTTTGCAGCTCAGTGGCAGAGCACATGAACTGCATGTACAAAGTCATGAGTTCAAGGAAGCGGGAGATGAAAAGGATCCCTGCCTGACACCCTGACGAACCGTTGCAATTCATAGAATCATAGAGTTGGAAGAGGGACCCTGAGGATCATCTTGTCTAACCTCCTGCAATGTAGGAATATGCCACTGTCCCATACAGGGATTGAACCTGCAACCTGGGCATGATTAGCACCACGTTCTAACCAGCTGAGCTGTTGGGGTCAAGAGAAGGCAATGCTGAGACAGAGGGACAGATAGTCTGACCTGGCAGAGGGCAGTTTCCTGCACCTCCCAAAGAAACATAATAACCAGTGCAGTGGTCAATAGGCAGAAGCCTCAACTTTCCCATGTAATGTTCAGTTTTCCAGAAAAGAATCTGAAGTCAAACTTCTGCCGTAATCCTGATGGTGAGCCTCGCCCTTGGTGTTTCACCACCAGTCCGACTAAACGCTGGGAATTTTGTAACATTCCTCGGTGCAGTAAGTATTTGGATGATCAATTCCAGGTTGATGTGATGATATAGCAATATGTTCGTTTTCCTTTGGCAGCGGTGGGAATCCAACACTCAAGTAGAAGAAACTACAGTCCTTTGATCTCACAGAGCGTGTGGTAGCTTTTTGGCAACCTCAAACATTTCACAGAATGGAACGAATATTCCACTTAAGGAAGTAGTAAATTGGATTGCTGCCTCTTAGGTGTCCTGAAGATGCTGGCTTCATTTGCTTTCTCTTTTCTGATATAGCAACACCCCCACCAACCTCTGGCCCAGGGCGCCAGTGCCTTGCGGGAAGAGGAGAAGACTATCGGGGTAACGTAGCCGTCACAATATCGGGGATACCATGCCAGGCCTGGGCAGTCCAAGAGCCTCACAAGCATGCCAGAACGCCAGAGAACTACCCTTGCAAGTATGTTAAACTATAGATCCAATATTGTTATCTCAGTCTTTGAGACTAGAAATGCCTTGCAGTAGGCTTGTCATCTCTCTGGTTTCCTAAAAATAAGTGCAAAGTTGTTCCAGCATCAGTTGCCTTCATGCATTTTCTGTTTTAGGCATTTAGAAAAGAACTATTGTAGAAACCCGGATGGAGAGAACATGCCTTGGTGCTACACCTCTGATCCACAAAAACGATGGGAATACTGCAATATTGCTAGCTGTGATGGTGCACCGGAAGCTACTGGTAAGAGACGCTGCATTTGTGCATCTGCAGTAGATGTGAGCAGAACAAGCCATTTTGATATTAAAAAAACCCAATCTGGCTATGATATCTGGGTTTCATTTTAAGAAGAGGCGACAAGCAGATGCAGAGTAAATTCAACCCTTTGGGTAGTTCATTATGTAGATTTTTATCTGTTGCATCTGTTGTTCCTATCTGCATGAGGAATGGGCTGAGTCAGAATTGTATATTAACTGAATAAATTCCTTCTGTTCTTGGGATTGGCTTGCTTCCCAGGCAAAATTCCTATTGAATTCGTAGGAACTTTTTTTCTGAACACATGCATTTAGGATATTTGCTTTGATCTATACTGTAAAGCAGGATGCAAATCAAATCCACAAGAAATAAATTAGGATTGGGCTGTCAATCTGAACAATATTTTGCAATATAAATCTGCAATCTGCAACAAGAAGGCTATTGATCATTGACAAAAGGTCCAGATGCTCTTAAGTCACCATTTCTTTTCACTTTGCCTTGCTTTCTTGTAGCCTTTCTTGTAGCTTCAGAGAGCCTACATCATTCTATCATCAGGATGTAGAACCAAAGGCCCTCTAGCATATCTTTCAGGTGCCCTGGAAAAAACGGGACATCCTGGGTTTTCCCACGAGATCTTGGTGGGCATTTTGGCTACCACAATCTTGTGTGCTCTCCTGAGGTCTCACCCCAAGAAAAGCACTTGGGGTGTGTGCAAAAAATATGCTTATTTCTGTGGCAATTTTGTTTTAATTTAGCTGCATCTCCTTCTGTTGCTGAGCAAACCGAACTTGTTGATGACTGCTATCAAGGCACTGGCACAAGTTACCGGGGTACAATGGCCTTGACCATCTCTGGAAAGAAATGTCAAGCATGGAACGCTATGACTCCTCATGCTCACACTAAAACCCCAGAAGCCCTACCAAATGCGTATGTTTGCCTCAACTTTCCTCAGACATTGTGACATTTTTGTGTGTCTAGCAAATCATGTAAAATGTCCCTACGTATAGGTCATGTTAAACAAGAGTCTTTAGGTGAGTGTCTTTTGATTTGAACTCTTCGAACTCCTCTTGGCATTACAAACCCGGGTTCTGGATTTGTTCCACTCCTTGCCAGTCATGTGAAATTTCATGTGAAATCAAGAACAAACCTTGCCTTGACAATGTGGTTTGTTTGGAATGAAACAAACTGCAATCCCAGGTTTGGCTATTATGCTAGGCTGGGAATTGCTGTCCCTGCTCGTATTAGGGGATGAGAGAAATGGGAACCTTTAACCTTTAAGCATGGCTTACTGTACCGTGCAAAAACAGCCAGTGTAGGCAGTGCTCAGCTAGATGGACTAATGGTCTGTCGTGATATAAGACAACTTTTTGAATAAGAATATCAACTGTCCTAACCATAGGCTGTTTAATAGTTGATATCCTTATTCAAATAATTTTTTGAAAAATTCGCACATGTTGGATATATTTTGTTAAAAGTGGTACAATGTCTCTGTTGGGGCAAGGTCTATGGTTACAAGTGATGTCATTAGTTTAGGAAAAGAAAGACCTTTGGATCAGACCAAAGGCCCATCTTGTGCAATATTCTGTTCCTAGAAATGGCCAACTAGATGGCTTCTGGAAGTTTATAAGAAGAGTATAAAGCATCAGTCACCTCAGTTGTATAATTATTTTATTTGTTTAAAAACCACAACCTGCCTGAGGCATCTTGCAACAAATTAAAAGAAATCAATCAAATAACCAATTACAAAACCAGCTTAACACATACAGCAGAAACCCAGAAACGTTGCAATGCAGCAACAATTCAGACCCCCCCCAAACAGGTTTAAGCAGTTATAGAAGCCTTAAAAAAACAGGTTACTGTAAGCCAGGGGTGAGGAGTCTGTGCCCCTTCAATTGTTGATAGCCTACAACTCCCAACTCACAGCTGTACATGGAGGTGCAGGTTAATTCTGTGTCCAGGGCAGCTGTTTACCAGCTCCATCTAGTACGCAGGCTGAGACCCTACCTGCCCGCAGACTGTCTTGCCAGAGTGGTGCACGCTCTAGTTATTTCCCGCTTGGACTACTGCAATGCGCTCTACGGGAGGCTACCTTTGAAGGTGACCTGGAAACTTCAACTAATCCAGAATGTGGCAGCTGGACTGGTGATTGGGAGTGGCTGCTGAGACCATATAACACCAGTCCTGAAAGATCTTCATTGGCTCCCAGTATGTTTCCAAGCACAATTCAAAGTGTTGGTGCTGACCTTTAAAGCTCAAAACGGCCTCGGTCCTGTATACCTGAAGGAGCGTCGCCACCCCCATCATCCAGCCCGGACACTGAGATCCAGCACCGAGGGCCTTCTGGCGGTTCCCTCACTGCGAGAAGTGAAGTTACAGGGAACCAGGCAGAGCGCCTTCTCGGTAGTGGCGCCTGCCCTGTGGAACGCCCTCCCATCAGATGTCAAGGCAATAAACAACTATTTTACTTTTAAAAGACTTCCCTGTTTAGGGAAGCTTTTAATGTCTGATGCTGTATTGTTTTTTATATTTGGTTGGAAGCCGCCCAGAGTGGCTGGGGAGACCCAGTCAGATGGTCGGGGTATAAATAAATTACTACTACTACTACTACTACTACTACTACTACTACTACTACAATATCATCCCTGATCATTGACTACGCTAGTCCAGTAGTATTTGGAGGGTCACAGCTTCCCCCAAAACTACTGTATTGGTTGGTATAGCTCAGAAATGCACCATTATAATGAGTAACCAGGCACATTACCCTGGGAGCAAGACATCATTGAATCAAATGATAGAATCCTAAGTTTCCTAACCTATTATATTCAAACTGTTTTAAATGTTATTCTCACCCTGGATATTATATAGAGTTTTGTATCTACATTTATAGGGACCTGAGGAAAAACTACTGCAGAAACCCAGACAACGATAAGGCTCCCTGGTGTTATACTACTGATCCCAGTACAAGATGGGAGTTCTGTAATCTACAAAAGTGTCCTGATCCTGCACAACAACAACAACAGCCACAGCCCACATTGTCACCAAACCTTGGTATGACTGCTTCCCTCAGTGCAGACAACCAGCCCAGAGTCACCTTTATATAGAAGTGATATGGAATTCAGTGCAGTAAAGATTAAATAATTTATTTTGTGGCTACTTTAAGTTACTATAGGATTGCAATACAGTGGTACCTTGGTTTTTTAGCATCTCGGAAGCCAAACATTTTGGGTTTTGAATGCCAAAACCCCAGAAGTAATTGCTTCCGTTTTCAAACACACCTCGGAAGTCGAACGGCTTCCACTGCATTTTTAAAATTTTTCTCCATTGACTTTGCAGTCCACCCTTTGCGCCTCAGTTGTCGAAAGTTTTGGAAGTGGAACAGTCTTCCGGAATGGATTATGTTTGACAACCGAGGTACAACTGTAGAGAAAGGTGCCTCTAGGGTTGATCTTTTTTTCAGTTCACTAGGTTAACATTCTTTCTGCTACATTTTAGACCACATTTGTTGTCCGTTAAATTCTATAGGTCTGGGGGGCAGGGGGCAGGATATAGGATAGATTATATTTCCCTATGCTGTTTTGGACTTCATTCTAAAAAATTAGTTCAATACTGCAAGCAAATTGGCACTGAAGCATTTGTGTACATGTTATCAGAAGACCATCATATAGGCTTTCATTATCTCTTCTACACAGATGATCTCCAGGTCTTTAAGGAAATTGTAGTGATCAGTAGTTATAAGTTACTAATCTCTGTTTTCTGAGGCCTTAAGCAAAATAAACCAAATATATGGTAGTCATATGTGATCATAGAGGTCTGAGGTACTGGTTTCAAACCAAGGTCTGACCCAAATGGTCACAGAAATTGAAGGATATATATTTGATTGATAAATTGAAATAGCAGCATAGCATGAACCCTGATACCAAAGATACAGAAAATACAGATACCCACAAAATAACAAAGACTAACTTAGCCAAGACTAGAATACTTTACCAACACTCTTGGTCTCCCAAGTTTGCTGAAGGTGTCAGTCGGGAGAGTACAAACTTAAAGGATAGACAAAAAGGGCCTGAGGGGAACTAAATGTAACTGTGAGGTAGATGATTCATATATTCTTGTCTAGTAACAAGTGTCTCTCTCCTCAGTCAGTCAAAAGGCTTCATAGCTATAATTATCCAAAACCCTATGTCTGGTGATGCTCCCAATGACAGCATTGCTGAAAAATGTTATTCCAATTAGCAAACTGGCCATGTAAGTCCTTGAGACGCTGGCTTGGGATAACGCAGGTGCAGTAAATCTTGTGTCTGCCAGCAATTAACTGAAAGAGAGAAAACTGCTTTCTCACGATCCCAGATCTAACTGAGAAGGCTTTCTTGACAAACCAAAGTTTTACACTTTATCTGGAATCAAAGTCTAAACACAGGACAGAAACAAAGTCCCCACAACACAGAAAGAGCTACAATTCCCAGGTTTCCTGGGCAAAGGGGGAATGACTGTTAAAGCAATTTAAACCTTTAGTGGAAATATGACCTGTGTAAGAAAAGCCCCCAACCACCCATTTTTATCTCTCTTTAAAGACTGTAGGACCGGTTATGGTAAAGATTATCGTGGAAAGATTGCAGTGACAACAACTGGCAAGACTTGCCAAGAGTGGCGTTTGCAGACACCTCATAAGCACGATTTTTTCACACCACAGACTCACCCCCGTTCAGGTCTGGAAAAAAATGTAAGTGGCATTATGTAGCAGGTAGGATGTGTTGTGAAATGTAAAGAAACAGAAAATACCAGACAAGGCTTAAGCAGGATTGACCTTATGAAAAATGTCCCCAAGCCTCCTGATCTTTTTCTTCCCTTTCATATGCTCCCTTTTCATTTCCCCACTAATTATTCCCCCTTTATTATCCCATTCTTTTGCTAAATGTCTATCATGTTTAGCTACATTTTTAAAATGTTGTAGTGGTTTGAGTGTTGGGCTAGGACTTGGGAAACGAGGGTTCAAATCCCAGCATAGCCATGCAGCTCCCTGGGTCAGTTATTGTCTCTCAGCCTCTCAAGGTTGATGTGATGATAAATGAGGTGGGAGAGAATTATGCACAACACTTTGAGCTACTTGGATGAAGGGTGGGATACAAATGTACCAAATAAATAATGTTATTTTATCGCATAAACTAAGTTTGAAACAAGATATTGAAATTGGTTTCTAGAGAGCCAGTTTTATGTCTGCACCAAATCCAAGTAGCTTTTGTACTGTAAACATAGTTACGTTCTTACAGCTTCTATGGAACTGAATTTTTCATTTTGGTTGCATTTTGAAAATAGTAAAGGACATAAGCCCTAGCCGGTGGCTGAATGAGGTTATCACACCCATGAACATACAAAGATTGCAGATTGAGTAGTTCTGTTTTTGTTGTCTCCCCCCGCCTCCCCATAGTATTGCAGAAATCCGGATGGTGATATTAATGGCCCTTGGTGCTATACCACAGACCCAAGCAAAACATGGGACTACTGTGATGTCCCACAGTGCCGTAAGTATGCTTGTAATGACTTGTCAGCTTTGTTATATTTTATTTTTTATATTTTATTTTAAGTGTTTATTTTTAAGTGTTTAAACGTTTCTATTTCAATGTTGTTTTAGGCTGGAACTAGGTCTGCTGCAGTTCGAAAGCACCCCTAAGTGCAAGTAGATAAATAGGTACCACTTTATAGCGGGAAGGTAAACAGCGTTTCCGTGTGCTGTGCTGGTGCTGGCTTGCCAGAGCAGCTTCGTCACGCTGGCCACGTGACCCGGAAGTGTTTCCGGACAGCGCTGGCCCCCGGCCTCTTAAGTGAGATGGGCGCACAACCCTAGAGTCGGACACGACTGGCCCGTATGGGCAGGGGTACCTTTACCTTTACCTTTTTAGATCTGCTGCAGGAAATGGCAGGCTCGTGTTGATTTTGCTCACCTCTCCCCATAATGTGTAGCTCTGGTAGCACATAACATGATCTCATCTTGGCATGGTGCCATTTATTCTGACTCTGTTATTGACAGCTGCCACGGTTGGGGAACATCTGATATGATAATTTAATGTCCTACATGTCTATCACTAGACATTAGTGGAAAAGAAGGCTGGATGTCTGCATAAGATAGCAGTCCTTGCTGTTGTTGAAATGAATTACCTCCAGTCTGTTCAAGCTGTTCCACAGCTAGTCACTAGGCAATTTAGGCTTCATTGGATTTTCCTTAACCCTAGCAATGAGCTGAAGGTTTAGGGTTGGTGTAGGAACTAGAACGGGATTATGTTCAACAGGGAATTTGTGGGAGATTAATGGTTTTCAGAGTTGCATACAAACATGTCTCATTATGGTGTCCAGGTGCAAGACAGGGCGCGTGAACCTTTCATGGCTGTGTAATGGAAGGCATTTCTCATGAAAACTACACCTGGTGAAATTTCCTCTTCTATGCAACTATTGAAGGTGCACAAGCCATGTCCACTTTTGCATCTGACCACTCGGTTTCCCAAATTATGAAGACCTGTTGAGGTGTTTATAATCCTAACATTCTACTATATTTCACGTTTCCTCTGTGTCTCTTTCATTTATTCTTCAGCTGCTGAGGAATATGAATGTGGAAAAGCCAAATATAAACCAATCCTTTGCTTTGGACGGATTGTTGGTGGATGTGTTTCAAATCCCCATTCTTGGCCCTGGCAGATTAGTCTTCGAGTAAGGTATTAAAACCCACAATCCGTTGTGCTACACCAATGATGGGAAACATTTGGCCCTCCAGATGTTGCTGAACTACAACTCCCATAACTCATGACAATTGGCCATGCTGGCTTGCATGATGGGAGCTGAGATCCGGAAATAAATGTTCCCCACCCCTGGGCTACATAATGTCCCTCAAGTGTTTGTGTTAGTGAGGGAAGTGGGAAAGATGCATGCGTTGGTGCAAGGAAAAAATTGGTATAAAGAGGATAATTCCTGGATGCCAAGATCAAAGCTTGGGGCAAGTACTCTTTGGTCAGAGAACCCCAGAAGATATTTAAAACCACAAAATATGCTGCATTGTAAAATAGGAAATATAAGCTGTTGGACCTTTAAAATATCCCCTTGTAAGTTCCAAAACTTCCTTCTTCCCCCAACATAGGAAAAGACCACACATTTGGTAAGTTAAAAATTGGTTTACTTACAAACGCTTTAAAGGTCTGGTTTATGTGCTTTTCCATGCAGCATTCATAAAAGGTTGCACAGACATTTAAACTTAGTTTGGTTCTGAAGTGGTGAAAATTCCTAAATTATTAGTATTGGAACTCAGAAATGGCTAAAGAGAGCCATGCAGTTTGAACTGGAGCAACCAGCTCAGAACCTCTTCACACATTGAACTTCTTAGGTAGACTGAGAACAAAAGCTTGATTATCTGGTTCTTCCCAAGGTGAGAGGTAGTGGGCAGCACAGCTTACTCTATGGTATTAACCCTTTCATGCATTAATTAGACTTAACCAACCTCATATAACCAACATGCTTATCTGACAGTATATACATGTGCTTGAGAAAAGTAAGTTTGAAGTGAAGGTTTCAGTGGAAAAGCTTCAGACTTTTTGTAAAATTCCTTCAACATTTCAATATGCTTAAAGGAAACCACATGGACAAAAGTTATTGAAACCATTAAAACCAACAAACTTTTGTAACTCAAACTCTTTGATTTCAATGGGTCTGCTCCAAAGATGGTTTAGTTGGCATCACTTATACTCATCATTTTTATCAATAAGATCACTGTGGGAGAGAGAGCACATGTTCACACATTAGAAAAAAATCTGTGTTATGTTGAAGCAAAGCTGGAGAACCTCTGACCCTCCAGATGTTGTTGGATTCCATTCACCTCAGCCAGGATCACCAATGGTTAGAGTGATGGAAGCTGTAATCCAGCCACCTCTGGGAGGCCACAGATTTCTCACTCTTGAGTTAAAGGCAGTATTGTTTGCCAGCCTTTGGGGGAAATTGGGATACACCCACCCACCTCTGTTATTTATATTGCTCCCTTTAAAGGTTTCCCCCTTCTGAAGACTTTCTAATAAAATAGAAGTAATCAAACAAAAATAACACAATGTATGCAATAAAATAATGACAGTAATAGGATCTGAAACAGCAAGTGGTAGAACAGATAAAAACAAATCATCAGAGGGGAAACTCATAGTTAAAATGCCTGGGAGCAGCAGGAATACAACTAATCTGCCTTTACTTTCTTTTCAGGTCCTTTGATTTGCATTTCTGTGGAGGCACCTTGATAGCTCCGCAGTGGGTTCTGACAGCCACCCACTGCTTAGAGAAGTAAGCCATTTCAAAGTGTTGGTGCTACTTTCTCTGAGCACACAAGCAACACAATGGGTCTGCCATGTTGCAATGGACTCTCTTTGGACACATTTACTGTTCCATGTTTATTTTTTGTTAGAGGCATTTATGCACCCCCAAAGCATGCGGATAATATTGACTCGGTACAAGGCAGCTTCTTACATTCCCCTTTTATAAATGGTTAGTAATCATCACCTGGTGGCCAATTGTGTTGTAGAAGAAGAGAATCAATCACTGGTTCCTAGTTGCTAGGATTGTTATATCCTGCTGTTCCCTGTTTCTCACTAGTGAGAAGTTTTGCTTCTAGCATCTTAATCTACCTGTAGCTGGGCAGGACCAACTTACTACTTTTGCACCTGCCCATAAGCTCCCAAATTGTACCTGCCATCTTGGCTGTAAATTTCACTCCCTGTGGTGTGAGATGGTGACAAATGCATAGCTGTATGGTGGGTTGGATTGACGCTGGAGGCAAAGTATGTGCTTCAGTCGCCCAGTCTCTAACTTCCAAAGAATTCTGCTCTCTTCAGCCATAGTGAGCAGACCTGCGCCTTGGTTATCTGGAGATGCCCTTACACAATGAATCTGCCTCTTGCAGGTCATCAAGACCTTCATTTTACAAAGTGACACTTGGGGCACACACGGAGAGGGCTACTGAGCCATCTGTACAAGAGCGAGATGTTGAAAAAATATTCAAAGGACCAAATAGGGCAGACATTGCCTTGCTGAAACTAAGCAGGTATCCCTTTGTGTTATAATTTTAATAGTCATGTTATTGACCAGTTCTTATGTTGTGATGTGATAGCTATTGAAGTGGTTGTGTGAAGTGCCTCCCACAGTGGTTGGGGAGGGTCAAATCACAGTACGGAGCAGGGAGAAATTTAGCTCACACTTTCATGCAAACCTTTTCAATGCATACTCCCCAAAATAAATATATGAACCAAATCACAGCTCTCCTATAGAATTTGCACTTGCATGTTCAGGCTCCACACCCTCACTGCTCCTCAGCTGGATAGGAGGAACTGACACAACACAGCTTAATTGGGTGATTGGCCACAGATGTAATAGGTTTGGCATAGGCATTGGGCATATGAAAAGGTTTTGTTTTTGTTTAAAAAAATGTATTTATTGAAAGAAATATACACTAAAAAAATTGGGCACATTTTCACGAGCACTTCTTATTTTTTAAAATCACAAACTGATGCAAAATGTGAACTTAAGAGTGGAAAAATGAGAAACTGAGACAAACCAAGATTACAGATTTGCCCACCCCTAGATCACCAGACCATGCCTCTCTCTCTCTTTTTTAAAGTATTATGTTAACTTGATTGAAATCACTAACAGCAGTGAATGCTTGTTTTAATCAAATTGCTTTGCACATGGAATGATATCCACCTAGTTCTGTGTTTTAAGCAACCACCTGTTGAAGCAATAATGATTTGTCCGCAGTATATCTTTGTGTTATGTACACATTTAGGACTAATGGCCCTAATTGCAGATTTTCTTTTAGCAGCAACATGCTGCAATGAATGTGAATTGACACCTGTTCTAGCATATCTGGGGCTTCAGCTGCATGAAGAAATAATGTATGGTCAAAGTGTTCTAATATAACAAGGGTAAAATCAGTCTTGATATTTAAACAACAGCTATCATGGTGTGATGTTTGCTTTGCAACTTGCCCTATTCAAATAAATGCCTTCAAGTTAAATGCTGGACTCATGCCACGTTCCTATGCTTTAGGTGGATAGACTGCATAAAAAGCAGTAGATGTGCCTTTCCAAAATTGAAAGGGAGGTTCCAAACAAGATCAGCTGTTCTAAAAACATCGCATCTGTCTTCACCATCAGAGCTTAACTCTTTTTGCTCGGGAGCAGTACTTCCATCCAAGTAAACATGTGTAGGACCAGGATACAAGTAAGGCTTACAGGGAAAGCATTTGAATTGAATATTTCTTAGTTCCAACTTCCATCACTTTTGCTTGCCCGAGACTGGGAAAAGTCGAGCATTGATAAGGACAGACACATTTGGGAACATTAGACTTCTAGAAATGCATTCCTTAAAAAAAAAAAGAAGTTGCCTGAAGGTTCACAACCCAGCTGGTAGCAATCAGGATAAGTGGAATGATGAAAAAGAACAATGCCAAACCTCTTGGAAATGTTTGTTTCAGCCCTGCCGTGATCAACGATAAGGTAATTCCGGCATGTTTGCCTCCAGCCAATTCAATGATAGCAGGTGGAGCAGAATGTTATGTTACTGGATGGGGTGATACAAAAGGTGAGTAAATTTTGAGCAGCTAAGTATCCAAAGTAGTTAAGGTTGTGTCGTATTCCATTATATTATTCTAATCTCCATGCTTTTGATTTTTTACTTTCTTACACAGGGATAGGGTTGCCATATTTCGAAAAGTGAAAAATTGTTGAGCTTTTTTGCAAAATCTACCCCCCCCCAAAAAAAACCATTTTTTGAGCTACTTTTTATGAAATTCACCCTTTGTCCAGATTTTCCTGGACATTTCAGTGATTTTTGCCCAGGCACTTTTTACACGGACCAAATACTGGCTATGTCCAGTATTGAAAGCCTGCCAGCTTGGCAATTCTCCTAGCTCTACTGGGACATAAAAAGAGAAAATTAAAGGCTACCACCCATCATTACAGCCTGTCACCAACCTTGCCAATGTTTATATCACAATTTAATGTCTGTTTATTTTCTTCCTTTCTCCCTTACTTGCAAAGGAACTGGTGGAGAAGGCATTCTTAAAGAAACTGGCTTCCCTGTAATTGAAAATAAAGTGTGCAATCGGCCTGAATTTTTGAACAACAGGGTCAGAACCACCGAACTCTGTGCTGGGAATATTGATGGTGGCACTGACAGTTGCCAGGTAAGAGAGTCTAGTGATGGAAATACTTGACAATAATAATAATATAATAATAACTTTTTAAAATTTATATCCCACCCATCTGCCTGGGTTTCCCCAGCCACTCTGGGTGGCTCCCAAAAGAATATTAAAAATGCGATAAAACATCGAACATTAAAAGCTTCACTAAACAGGGCTACCTTCAGATGTCTTCTAAAAGTCAGATACAGTGGTACCTCGGGTTAAGTACTTAATTCGTTCCGGAGGTCCGTACTTAACCTGAAACTGTTCTTAACCTGAAGCACCACTTTAGCTAATGGGGCCTCCTGCTGCTGCCGTGCCGCCGGAGCACAATTTCTGTTCTCATCCTGAAGCAAAGTTCTTAACCTATTTCTGGGTTAGCGGAGTCTGTAACCTGAAGCATATGTAACCTGAAGCGTATGTAACCTGAGGTACCACTGTAGTTGTTTATTTCCTTGACATCTGATGGGCGGGCGCCACAACCGAGAAGGCCCTCTGCCTGGTTCCCTGTAACTTCACTTCTCACAGTGAGGGAACCGCCAGAAGGCCCTTGGGGCTGGATCTCAGTGGCCAGGCTGAATGATAGGGGTGGAGACACTCCTTCAGGTATACAATACATCAGAAACAATGGACTTTTGGGTATTGCTTGGTGTAAGCCTTGGCTGCTCAACATTCCAAACCCTCATTATGGCCCCATCCACATAATACATTTAAAGTTGTATTTACATTTAAAATGAATCCTGGAAAATGTAGTTTATGTCTTTGTGGGAAGGAGTTGGAGGTTATTGGTTTTAGGGTATTTTTTTGTTCTTGTTTTTATCTTGTTTATGTTGTGTACTGCCCTGAGATCTACAAACAAAGGGTGGAATAATAATAATAATAACAATAATAATAATAATAATGGTGCCAAGAGTTGCTAGGAGACCCTGGTTCCCCTTACAGATCTGCAATTCCCAGTGATCCCTGGGAAGAGAGGATTGATGGTTACACTCTTGGAACTGTAGCTCTAGGGCTCTCCTGACATTTGCTGTTATGGGGAACAACCCTGCCTGCCCCTCCCTTATTTAGTGATACTGTGCTGTTAGGTCTTTGAACTGCAATAAAGAATTGACCTAATGACCTAGTGATATTGTAGTTTTGTATGCTAACCTTCCTTCCTAGGGCACTGCATTCACTGGCTATGCTGTGGGTCTGTAATGGTTGCCATATCTGGAGCCGGGAAGGAATTTGCCTGCAAACTGATTAGCCCCATTTGCAGGTTTTGTTTTCCCCATAGCAATAGTCACAACTTTGGTGGATAAGGCATTGGGGTGGAATCCTTTAGTCTAACATCAGACAGGAGGTGAAATGGTGGTTCCCCCCCACCTCAGAAAAGGTGTGTTCACAGGGTACCTTGTGAGAGGGGTCTGGTTGGAAGTCTCTGTCCCAAAGCCAAGGCTGATGGGCCACAGAGCTTCCTTCAGTAGTTTGGGGGGGCATCCATGTAGACCTTCATCTTGCAATGGACCCATTAATCCCATGAGCAACTCTGTCATGGCTCAGCCCCGCATCAGGAGGATGAGAGTGATGATCAACTCAATACCTAAGTCAAATCCTACCTCCATGTGTAATCAATAAAGTTATGGCCAATTTTAGAATCCCAGAACGTTGCCTTGTCCAGTTTGTTCACCTTTCTTAGGTTAGGCCTTGCTCCCTGAGGAGGGGTTGCTGCGAGTGTGTCTGCATATATGAGTGACCTTGTGTGGGCACAGTCTCAGGCAAAATATATCTAGTGAGATCTGTTCATTACATGGTTATGTTTATTTCTGCTCTGTTTGTTCATTTCCCTTTTTCATTTGTAGGGTGATAGTGGAGGGCCTCTAGTATGTGCAGAACAAGGAAGATATATCCTCCATGGAGTCACCTCCTGGGGTCTTGGCTGTGCGCAGCCCATGAAGCCTGGTGTTTATGTTCGAGTTTCCCAGTTTATTTCATGGATTGAAAAAACAATGCGTGAAAACTGAATTATTTCACTCTTGTTGAAAGAAGCACATACATATACAGATGTATCACACACACACACACACACACACACACACGATTCAGGGTGCAATGTTGTAAAATAAATTACATGATTGTAAAAATGACCGATTGGCTGGCTGACTTTCATTACAACACGGTTTATATGCTGCAAAAATTCATTTGCAATGTGCTTAAGCTTGAACAATAAGCCAAACTGGATGTGATTTGAGTGACCCATGAATAGAATTGGCAACATTTTTAAAGGTCTAATGTCATCCATAGGGGAAAACATTCTAGTATCATACAAGGTGCCTGCATTGATTCATTTGTGGGGCAAATAGTTTTGAGGGCTTTAAAAATGCAGGTTCTCCCATGTCACCATAACTACAGCTCCATTTGCTACCATTTGATTGAAAGCTATGACAAATAAAAATGAAATGAATTGTTCTTAAATTTGTTTTGTTCATGTTTTCTGATCTACTGGAAACAAATCCAACTGTTCTTTACCTTCAGTTATTAGATTAATTATCAATAGATAATTTCACATGAATACATAGTGAGGATTAGAAACTCTCTATACTGTGTAGTTGCCTCTCATAACTGAGGTAATGGGAGGGCCCAATCCATACGACACATATTGCATCCTTTGCAGTGCAAAACAAGTGATTTTAGTATATTTCATTTGTTTTATTGTTCCATTTTTATTCCACTTTTTAAAACCTTTATTAAACTTTTTTGAAAATAAACTAAATCAAACCAAATAGATGCAAAGGGTAAGTTATTAACATAACAGGCTTAAGGCATCTCAACAAATATACATACTTTTTATTGTATCTTTGAAATAAGAATTTGTTTTCCCTGTTCTCATTCAGTTCCACTGGAGTATTTGAACGCAATATTTTTCTTGTTATTTATCAAAGTGTTGTGGATTCCTTCAGTGTATTTCCTGTTTCTCCAACAGAAGTGTGAAACAATTACTCTTACGAGTTAGGGAAGATAAAGGATGGCCAGATGGCCCAGACATAAGCAAAGAGTCAAGTTTCAAATAAAACAACTTCTTTAATGGAAATTATTTCTCTTCTACAAAATCCACATATAACAGTTTCCCACCTGGAAACAATAGGCTCAGAAAACACATTCATACTCCCAAAGTCATAGAAAAATATTATATTTACTTTAAGTGTCTTTTAGGGATTTTTATTATGGAAAAACAGGATCCATTTTCTCCATCTGGCATGATAATGGCATCCACTGGACATCAGACTGAAAGCCAGGTGATTGGCGGTGCCCTCAGAACATTTGGCAAATGATCAAACATATGTGCTGGAAATCTGATGTTTCTGTTTCCCACACCTTCTGCTGAAACTGTGGTGATAAAAGGAAAGAGAAAAAAGAAGAAAAGTCATGCTTTAATGGTGGGACAAAGTTCTGATTTAAGCAGAAATGTATGCTTTTAAAAATCACGCTAATCTTTGATGAAAACCGCTGTCGCTGAAGATAGCACTACAAGGGAAGCGGCTATGGGAGCTGAGTGGTCTACTGTAGAGGTTATAGTATCAGACTAGGAAGACCCAGATTCAAATCCATACTCAGACTTGAGGCTTACTGGGGCAGTTACTGTTTCTAAGCATCACTTCTCTGTCAGCATTCTTGTAAGGATAAAATGTGGTGGGGAGGATGGGGACAGAATAACAGATTGTTGCATATGGCACGCCAATCTCTGAGTGGTGCAATATTCCAGGGAGTTCCAGGGTTTGGTTTCCTTGGAATGAGGGACAGTGGAGACTGTGGTTTATTTACACATGGATACAACCTGAGCCCACGATGGAGGGGCTCATGGCATCAACACCCCAGAGGGTCTCACTTCTCCCATTGTTACAGCCTTGGATTCTAGTAAAAATACAGCATGGCTCTCCTCTCTGCTTCTGCCTGCTTCTAGCTTCCCTCCCTCTCTCACATCACTCTGGCTATTGTGCTTCTCACTACCAGCCAGGTGAGGGAGGGGCCTACCCATATGCCCTCCGGCAAAAGCAACTTCCTTTCTTATACTAACAACCCACACTTAGGACCAGTGGTTTTTTTCCCCCTAAAAAAAAGTTTAGGGATACAGTGGTACCTCGGGTTAAGAACTTAATTCATTCTGGAGGTCTGTTCTTCACCTGAAACGGTTCTTAACCTGAGGTACCACTTTAGCTACTGGGGCCTCCCGCTGCTGCTGCGTGATTTCTGTTCTCATCCTGAAGCAAACTTCTTAACCAGAGGTACTATTTCTGGGTTAGCGGAGTCTGTAACCTGAAGCATCTGTAACCCGAGGTACCACTGTACTCTCATTTCCCTACTTATATTGAAATACTGCCCCTCAATGAAGCCAAACTTAGATTCACAAAATGTTTAGGGGTATGCGTCCCCCCAGAAAAAAAGCACTGCTTAGGACCAGGTAACTCGCCAAGAAACCTGCCTGTCTCCTTTAACAATGGAATCCTCAAACTCACACCACTATGCCTGGTGGGAAGGTTGGGTATAAACACAACAAATAAATTAGCACCAATAGCAGCTTCCCTGCTGGGGTGAAACAGCAGCTAGGAATAGGGATTTTCATTAGGACTGCAGCATGAGGTGCAGGGGTGAGGTTAACTGCTTCCACCCACCCACCAATCTCAATCTGACTAGCTTCCCTTTATATTTGTTTTTTTGAAGCAGCATATGCAAGTGCAAGGGCACATTTAATGAACCGTTTGGTGCTTGAGGCTAATGAAAGGTCTGGAGAAGGAACCATTTGAAATCCCAAGAAAGCATATGAGATTATTTACGGGTAGATAGCAGTGCAGGCATTTGGCAGTTGTTCCACATCCTCGACTGTCTCCGGTAAGGGAAGGCCCTTTGTCTCCGGTAAAAATGTGACCAGAAGCCCACATAGAATGGAAAGTATACCTGTCAAAATGTGAAGCAGGAAACATACAGTATGTCACATGGAGTGAGAAATAATATTTAATACTACAGTTTTAGATAGTTCAGAGGCAGGGAACAAGAAAATGTGGGGAAAGCCCTAATTGCTGGGCAGGGGGGAGTGAGTGGTTTATTTGTATATATGCATGTTTATGGGTGGATGTTTATGAATGGATGCAGGGGCACCAGCTCCTGGGGGCCCAACCCTTTTGGGGCCCCCAATATTTTTTAGGGGTGCTCCCCATGTTCAAAAAAATCAGGGCCATTGCAGAGCCAAGTGTAGTGCAGTTTCAGTGGCTGGCTCCTTCTCCTCCTGCTCCTGCCATGGAGGGGAAGGAGGAGGAAATAGCCCCCAGCCAATGGCAGCAATGGCAGGAGGAGGAGGAGCCATTGAAGCTGTGCTGCCGCCACATTCAGCTCTGCCCCTTGGCTCCTCCAACATCCTGACTTGATGTTGGGACATCACACACACAACTTTCCCCCCTCCCCCAATCTGCCTCACAGGTTAGCACCTCTGAATGGACGTGTGTCATGAGGAACACATCCCTCAGGCTGGTTATTCTAAGAGCTACTATTTAACTTTAATAATTGGTGCCTGAGTTTGCCTTTTTCCTCTTCCCTACCTCTCCCCTTTCACTTTTGTGCCATGTCTTTTAGACTGAAAGCATGCAAGCAGGGACTATCTTGTTTTTATTGTTATGTAAGCGGTTTTAATTGATTGTGTGGGAGACTTTTTGGTTAAAGAGCAGAGCACAAGTTCTCTAAATAAATAAAAGTAGTATGTAAACAAACTTAATGATAATATTGTTAAGGATTTCTATTACCTACAATACAGTGTTGGTACCTATCCAGCACAATTACACATAAGGAACTGGGCACTGCTGTACTTGTCCCCCTGACAACTCTCCAAAGGGCAGGCCTGTCTGATGCTTTCAGAAGTGTAGAGTCAGTGTGGATGGTATCAGAAGGCTGATCTGAAAATTCACTGGGAGAAAGTGGTTGTGGGAAGTGGCTCTCAGCATGACACTTTGCTTCGGGGCAGGGGGATAATTGTATGGCAAAATGGAGCTACAAAACAGTAGTGAGTGTGGAACCCCAATCCCAATATTACTTCCTGAAAGAATCAGAAAAAGAAGAACCATCTTTGAAAAGAGGTCACTTTTAAAACAGTATCTTACAATAAACAATCAGAGGCAGCTCTGACCAGTAGGCTGCTAGCCGGTAGAGAAGAAATGGGGCTAAAATGCCCCCTATGTCACACAGTCCTGAGCACAATGAAACACCAAAGTTTCTATAGGGGAAAGAAAAGAGAATATATTACTGTGGATTTATGCACTAGCTTCCAAGATGCTATACTATACCTACTTTTCACATGATACCTCCATTCCACTCTGGTTTGCTTTCTTTAACTGAACTCCAGATTTGGTCTTTAAGTCAGGGTATAAGAGCCTATCAACAGGCACTTGCAAAGGTGATAATAGCAAGAATGCACTTTTTTCTAGACCACACTTCCCCAACCTGCCGCACCCCAGATATTTTGGATCCCAACTTCCTTCACCCCTAGCCAGCATGGCCAACAGCCAAGGCTGTTGAGAGTTGTGGTTAAACTACATTCATATACTGCTTTTGGAAATGTTTCTTTAGGAATGTCCTAGACCTAGACAATATCGGGGTTCCTTTGGCTCTTTTTATATGGGAATGCTAAGGAGACTTCATTCAAACCACTGGAGAGCAGAGCTGTGCACTGAGGATTTTTAAATTTTAGACTCTGAGCACACTGTGGCATGCGACTGCCTTGTAAATGGTTTTCTCTATCATTTCACCAGTGCTTTTTTTTTTTATAAACTCCCACTTTTTTTTTGATGGACAACTCTAAGTCCCAATGAACTCAGTGGGGCTTACTTCTGAGTAGGCATGCATAGGTTAGCAATGCACATGTACGAGCCACTTCACTGCTTGATGTAATCTGTCAGGTTAACCATAATTTCTGCTCCACTGCTACTTCCTCCCCCAACCCAAGCCCACAACTATGTGGATTTCCTCCCCAAAGTGGTTATTCCATTTACCTGAATATTGTAGGATACAATTCAGAATTCACAAGATAGACAAGCTCAAAAGTTATGGTGATCCCCAGTCTTGCCAAGATGGCACATGATGTACTTAGCCATGGTATATCTGTGGAGGATACAGGCAGATGAAACACGAAAAGGATTTCTTTAACAATGGAAACCAAAAATCAAGATCCTATTCCTGATCCATTTCACAATGAATTCGTGTCCTTCTCATCTAACCCCTGTTGCTTCAGCAAAGCTTCTTCATGGATAAATGAGCAAGAAGTGAGGTCAGAAGTGGAGAATCATTTGATTATGAATGGACAAAATGGAAGTCTAAAAGAGATATTATTTATTCACCATTGGTACCTGCCCCAATATTAAGGGAAGGTATTTAATTTTAATCAATAACAATAAATGAGCTAGAAATGCAACCTCCAGATTTGAAAATAATTAGCAGCGTTACTCATATTTCACATTTACCAGCAGGTGGCACTAAAATACTACTTTTCATTATGCAGCTGCCAGCTTAGCTTTAAAGCAGAGCAATGTGAAGCAATGCCAGAGATTCCCCGTTAGTTTTCTAGGGTTGCCATATTTCAAAGTGAAAATCTCGACAGAAAAGTTGTTGAACTTTACTTTGGGGGTGGGGATGGGGCAAAATTGTTAGCAAAATCGCAAAAAATGCTGTTTTTGAGCTATTTTTTCCTTTTTAAAAAATGGCAAAAATGGCCCTGCTGAAATGGCTGACACATGTCTGGATTTTCCCAGACATTTAATCCAATTTCCGTCTGGGCACTGCTGTCAACTGCTGTATTCCGTGCATGTCCAGGAAATCCTGGGCATATGGAAACCCTAGTTTTGCTCATTAGGAAAGAAAATGAAAAGCAACAGCAGCACAATACCTTTCATTAAGACTCAATATAAGGTCACAGAGCAGTGTGTGCAAGCTTTTCTGGAGTCTGCCATTATTTCCAAGAAGAAATGCAAGGTCATATTTCAGCAAGCTTCTGTTCCAAGATATGGTTGGGGGGGTGTGTGTGTTTCACATATTTTTAAATGTGTGTGTGCGCGCACGCACACCTGTGGTCTGCCTTGAAAGACAAGGGTGAGTTAGCAACTAAAACAAGCAAATAAAAACGAAAAGGTTACCTTTGGGCAAGAATGCGGTCATTAAGCACGCAGCACCTGCCACGAAGGCACTTGTTGCAAAGAGAGGGCGCCTGCCAATGCGGTCAATTGTCAATAAGATTAGAAAAGCTGAAGGCAATTCCATCAGTGCTGAGACAAAGAACTCCAAATACAGATTTCCTTCTATGATTCCCAGGCGCAAGACAAGCCCTTGATAAACCACTGCACTTGTGAACCTTTAAAAGGAAGAAAAAACAGCTGCAAAAGGTTCAAAGCAGGCTGGCTTGCATGACAAAGGCCAAAGGGGAAAGCCACAGAGGCAACACAGCTGGGACTCACCAGGCATACATCAGGATTAGAGTGAACTTTCTCATCTGCGGAGTTCTAACCAGTTCGAGGAGAGACGGGTTGCTCACCTCCTTGTCGGAGAGACTGATCTAAGTAAAAGAAACAGATACCAAAACCCAAATATAATAATAATAATATAATAATAATTTATTATTTATACCCCGCCCATCTGGCTGGGCTTCCCCAGCCACTCTGGGTGGCTTCCAACAAAATATTAAAATACAGTAATGCATCAAACATTAAAAGCTTCCCTGAACAGGGCTGCCTTCAGATGTCTTCTAAAAGTCTGGTAGTTGTTGTTCTCTTTGACATCTGGTGGGAGGGTGTTCCACAGGGCGGATGCCACCACTGAGAAGGCCCTCTGCCTGGTTCCCTGTAACTTGGCTTCTCGCAGCGAGGGAACTGCCAGAAGGCCCTCGGCACTGGACCTCAGTGTCTGGGTAGAATGATGGGGGTGGAGACACTCCTTCAGGTATACTGAACCGAGGCCGTTTGGGCTTCAGAGGAGCTTGTACACGTAGAAGTGGTATAGAAATGAAACATCCACATAAAAATATGAAAAGTACGGGTTGATTTGCTGCCTGATGTTCTGCATGCTCTGAACGATTCATAAAATAATTTAAACAAATAATATCATATAAAACCTTGGGGAGGAGGGGAGATACTTGGACTATATCTACCAAATATTTTGCTTACTTTCAGGAAGCAATATTTCTTACCCTGTTTAAAAACTGCTGTCAAATAAGACAAGGAGCCTTGGGCTTGAGTAACTTGGGGCTACAGCTCATCAATATGCAACCCCCCCAAAAAAACCCACAATATAAGGGTGTTAGGCATTCAGATCAAAATCCAATGTACAACCAAATGAGTTTTCATCAAAGCATTAATATTAAACATTAAGTGTTATTTTTGTCTGTCATATTTTTACAGAAAATATGAAACTATTTGCATAATACTGCAAAAGCACAAAAGCAATATAGCACAAATTTTAAAAATGATTTATTTTTAAAGGTTGCCATTCTGGTTTTTCTAGTTCACATGATAGCAGATATTGCAACTTTTTGATTTTGCTAGGTTTTTACTATTTGGGGAGTTCTTCTATTTGAGTTTATTTCTGTTTTTATTTTGTTGCTTTATGATATGTGTGTGTGTATGTGTGTTTAATTGTACTTCTAAGATTTCATGTTTTTATTGTAAAATAGCCTAGTAATCTTTGTCATTTAAAGGTGGAACAGAAACAGAATAAACAGGAAGAAGTATAGACAATATTTAGTTATGTGTGATGCTGCCTTAGATTGAGTTAGAGAACTCAGTTGTCTAAACTGTCCGGTACTGTCTTAATATGCACAGCAACATATATGCACACTCAATCTACCTCCTGACAGCTGAGCTGCTGCTGTTTTTTGGGAAGAGAGACAGTGGAATGGAGGTGGAAGGGATATCAGAATGCTTCAAATACAGTGGTAGGAGTGCCAGCTTGGCTCCCTGATGCACTGGCACCATTCTGACCTCCCTACCACTTCCCTCTTCCCCTCCGAATAGGCAGCAACTCTCAGGAAAGCACAAACAAAAATATTTTGTCAACCTTGATAAATGAAAAGAAAATACTCGTGCATTTTCACTTTTTAAACTCAAATCAGCACTCCCTTCTAGCCTTGGGCCCCTCACCAACCTACCTCACACGGCTGTTGTGAAGATATAAGATTAAATAAAATGACTGGGGGGGGGGGGGGAAGACTCAGTGCTTCTGTCATAAACCTCAAACTTTGATTCCTTTAAGCAGAGTGATGCATCTTTGGACTATAAAAGGCCATGTTTTTCTCTCCCCCTCTAAGTATAGCTCCAAGGCTTCAACCAATCCTCACCTCTCCCCCCACCTTTGTTGTTGTTGGAGAAGAAGTATGCTCTGTTGTACAATGTAAAGAAATTATAATGAAAACAACTCTACAACACCACACAGTTCAATGCCACACAGCTCGTCATCGTAACAGCAGGTTTATCACCACCAGGGCATTAGCATGCCTACGAAAGATACAATACAGCAAATTTTCTCAAACTCAGAGCTTCGCTTTGAAAAGCAGAGCTATGTAATCTTGGAACTAGAAACTCCACTGAGAGTACAGCCTGTGAAATGCACTTGACCCTCCCATTATCACACTTCCGGGAGCATCGTGCTCTCCTTCTGGGCATAGAATCAAGAATGACTGAACTTGTGTATCCAAAAGGATCTGGAACGGTTCCGAAGTGCAGCTTAGAAGCCTTAGACTATTACTGAGGGCTAAGCAATTGCAGCTGTGACTAAATTAGGGTCACCCAGCTGTGGATACTACTTAAAAATATAGGCTAGGATGTTTGGGAACGATGAGGAGAGAGTAATACTAGCCTGGACACCAAGGTCACCATTCTAAAAATACTGAGATGTTGAACAAACTGAAGAATCTGAACAGATGGACATCATGCAATCCGCACATTCCCTTGTTCGTAATCTGATCACATGAAAATATGATCTTCACAAGATGGTTGACAGACAAGGCATTTGGAAGATGTGTGGCAAAAGCAAGTCTTTCATGTATGGCTGTTTAAAAAAAGGAATTTACGAAAAACTGCAGTACCTTTTTGTGTTGATTTACATTGATATAGTATAGGATCCTCTGATTTTTGGGAAGGAAAGTATTGAATTCTGCATCTGCTACTTTTAATATTACTAAATATTTTGAGAGAAATGTCCTTTAAGTTGCTAGATTTCCAACACTCCTCCTGGAGAAGAATACTGCTGCTCTGGACGAGGCCTGACATCTGCCTGAGCAGGCAGGGACCTGCAATTATTGACAGGCCTCCCACTGGTGGTAGCCAGTGTAGAGTTCTCAAAAGGGGTGTTTTGGGATATGTGTAGGTTTGGGCCAGTTACAGATCCCCTGAATTCTTTTTCTTCTTCTTCTTCTTTGTCCATGAGAGGCCTGATTCAGACATCTCTGTTGCACCAGCTGGTGTAGTAAAACCGCCCTGACCAACAGGGGTTTGGACGTGGTGGTGGCTCCACTGCCCACTGTCCTGTCTGCATAGTTAGTATTTCTCTCAATAACTAATTGACCAACACCAATGTTTTCAAAGCACCTACAGCAATTAAGTGCAGTGCATAAGACAAATGAAAGAAAGATAACATGCAAGCCCTGCCATCAGGTTTCCACTCCCAAGAGGCCAGGATCTTATATGCATGCAACAGAATGAGTCTGTGCAGACTTTCTTCTTTGTGTATTCGCTGTACAAATGGTGTGTGTGAACGTTTGTGCCTGTGTTCCAGACACCTGACACCTGACCTGCCTCCAATATGACATATCCTGATGGCCCAATTTGCCAATGTGCACATGTTCAGCACAACATCAGAAAGATGAGCAGTAGTGAAACACACCCCAGAGCGAGCCCTTAATACAAAAAAAAAGGTACAAAATGGGGGAAATCATCTCCTCCACACTCCAGCTAACACTTAGATGGCCACAGGGCGAGAAACAGAAAACCCAACAGCACAAACTGAACATGCCTTGCTAACACCATGATGATGCTAAAAGTGGTGCATTTGATGCTTAGCACGTATATGGTGAGTACCTCAGTATAATGTGGTGGAAGACATTTCCCATTGTCTTTGGCGATGGACTGAATGATCTTTAGGGCTTTTTCTCCTTTTTTACGTGTCAGTAGCCACCGTGGAGATTCAGGTACTGCCCTGCAAAAGTAGAGACACTGGTAAGGATGTATCTGCAAGCTGTGTTCAGAAACCAAATAGATTTATTGCTTGTAAGAAGGCACGAAGCTAATCAACATCCCCGTGCGGTTCTCCTGCCTTCCATTTTTTTCCTGGCAAGCTGGAAGCTCTTTAATCCTCCTGTGTGAATGTGTGTGTGTTTGTGTGAAGGCTGAAACAAGCATCCCATGGAGTCAGCAAGCAATTTGACACTGCACACAGTAGAAGCCCGGTATAAGTGACCCACATAATGCTGATGATTCTGTCCATTCTTTATACATAGTTGGACAAAGAAGCACATAAATTATGTGGATGACTTGCAATATGATCCCTGGAAACTAGCGAAATGCAAACTAGATTCTAAAGGGAATGTTGCATAGTCAATTTCAGAAACTTTCAGAATCGATTGTAAATTCTGAACTGAACTGAAAAAACTTTGAGTTTACCTTGAAGAGATAGATCAACCCTTTGTAAATAGCACTCCTATTTGTCCATATTTTACACAAACTATATCTGTGGCTTTTGGTTCTATATTCAGCCATAACTCATTTCAAATATGTTCAAACAGGTATACTGTTTATAGATGTAGGCTTATATTTAAAAAGGCACAATTTGGGGAGGAGGTTACTGATGATAACTTTCTGTGTTCTTAAACAATGTATTTTGTTTACATTGTGTTTTAGAGTGTTCAAAGCACTTCAAGGGCATATCACAGCAATCCTTATAATTCTGAATGAAGGTCAGTATTATCGTTCCCCTACAGTAGATGTGGGCAATTTAATGACCTGTGAGACAGACAGAGGACTACTCATAATTACTAAAGCTCCCAGTTTATACTACAGGACCTCATACTGTGTACTATATAATTATTCTAAAGATCCAAGAAAGAAAATAACATCAAATTACCAGTAATACAACAGGAAGAGGAAGTTGGGGAGTGTCGTAGCTAGCTGAATCTCTCGCCATGTGGGAATGAGATAAGCAATTCCAGGAAGAATCACAACTCCAAGGGTGAAAAAGATCTGAATTACAATTCCAACAATCCTTCGCTGATCTGAACCAACTATCTCTGTCACTGAATACAGAAATGGACAAAATAAAAGACATTGAAAGGAAACAGCCTGCACATTATTAAAACCATTAATAGGGTGATGATAGCAAGTCACTGTTCTGTGGTACATGTGGAGATATTTTGCTTGGTATTGCTGACTTCTTTACATTAGTTGGCAGAAGAAAATTAATGTCACAGATGTCTGATGTTATGAATCTATGGCCTGGTTAAGACATAGCTATCTCAGTTAACAAACCATTGTTTATTAGGCTAAGAACAAGTGGTTAGCCTGGACATTCATCCCTCCCTCCTTCCCTTTCATTCCCCATTCTTCTGCACAATGTATTGCCTTAAATCACACTTTCCCATTACCTCCAAACTTGGAAACTGGTTTAATCTCTGGCTACAAAAGTAGGGCACCAAACCAGATGGTTCAACAATTGACAGAAATCCTGCCATTGTTTATGAAACCAAAATAATTGTATCTGGATTGAGCCCATATCTCATTCATTGGTGAGATAGTGCATGTTGGTATTCTTTGGTCTTATTACTATTGAATGAGCATCTATGTAGCTTCACATGTATAAAAATGTCCTATAAAGAACACATTTTTTTTCTCCTGAGTGATGCTGGCTTCTGCTTACCTTCACTGTAAAACAGACGGATGTACATACCAACAATCTGAGTGATGATTCCATATTCTCCTTTAGTTTTGGGATTTAACTTTTAAAATGCCATGTGCACACTTCTCCCAATTAAATGTATAATTATATGTCACCTCCCCACCTTGAAAACCAGAAACGGCTCATGGAGTGTGGTGGTAAATTAGTGATGAATTACTTTCCTCTGTGCTCAAAAATGTATGTCTAAAAAACCGAACCCAACCAATGGTAACTGCATTTTTTAAAGCCAGCTCACCACTCAAATTAGGTACATCTCTGTGCATTCTTAAATTTATAAACCATGGGCTTACCGTATTTTTCGCACCATAGGGCGCACCGGACCATAGGGCGCACCCAGTTTTTAGGATCCCGCTCACTGTTTTGGCTTCCCCTTTAGCCCCGTGCAGCCTCTCCTTGCCGGGAGACGCTGCGCAGGGCTTTCCTGGCTTTGCTGGGAGGTGGGGGGATTCCCTCACCTCTCCCAAAAGCCCACAGAAGCCGCGCAACCCCTTTAAAGAGATTGCGGCTTCTCCTGGCTTTTCTGGGAGGTGGGAGAAGGGACTGATGCGGCCAGTCAGTCCCTTCTCCCTCCTGTGGAAAAGCCCGCAAGAGCGTACGGAGCTTGTGTGCGGCTCTTGGGGGCTTTTCCCGCCTTCCTCCCCCCTGCATTCGCTCCATAGGACGCACACACATTTCCCCTTGCTTTTTAGGAGGGAAAAAGTGCGTCCTATGGTGCGAAAAATACGGTATTTAAAATCTGGGTCATATTAGATCGGCTTGTGACCAAACTATACACAATTCAGAAGCCATTATTGTCTTCAATAAACTTATTGTTTTTGCAGTCCCTGAGGCAGATAACAAAAACAGGAGAGCTATTGAGCCTCTGGTCAGCTGCTGTACATGGATCTTGTGTGAAATTTTGCCTGGTGGGTCATGAACTGGGGTCAAATGAGATGTGACCTGGGGTTAAATGGGTTGCTGCATTTCATATGCATGTTTGTTAACATTCAAGTAGCAGCTGCTGGGGATGGGACTGATAATTATCAGGACTGCAGCGTGGCAGAGAGGGAGAGTTTAACCTTTTCTCCCCTTGCTGTGATCTTGACAGAAATGGTTCCTTTGGAACTTTTATCAACATCAGGAGGAAATCTCCACCACCAGCACTATCAGAATAAAATGTCTTCAAATGAACCAATCCCTGCATAATCAACCCACCCTTTCATGCAGTAATTTAGCAATATTCACAATGCAATCTATTGATTTTATGTGCAATGTGCCTACAGTATAATGATCCCATTCAAGAAATCCCCTTTTTTCATCTAGTATCCCACATATTACATGCATATATGAAGAGGAAGAATGGAAAACACGCCAAGTCTTACCAATGACAAAGCTTGTCATCCAGGTTCCCTTTCCAAATACACCTTGTAGAAAGCGAAATATCGAAAATACTACAATATTTGGTGCAAAAGCCACTATGAGGCCACATAGTCCTGCCCCAAAGGAGGAAATGAGGTAAATGTTGATTCTGCCGTATCTGTCAAGAACAGAAAGAGTGAGAGTAAAACAGAGAGAACAGGGTTACCTGGTGTGAAAAGAGCTTTTAAGGTCTTGTCCTTTCTTCCTGGGTGATGCCTGGTTAGCAAACCAGCTCTGGGAATGGTAGGGATGCTCTCTCCCCCACTCCCACCCCTCACTAGTCACCTCACTGAAGGCAGACTGAACATATTCCTAAGCTTCCTAAACTTCACACGTAATGGCATACAAAAGTGCTGTGCCGAAAACTCTCCTCCAATTTCTCTAAAATTTTGTTCCTCTACGAAAGAGACTTCTGCTGTTCTGCCTCATTCAAGGGACACTTTATAATTTTGGTGGGTGTGGACAGGGCTTTTTTTCCAGCCAGAACTCAGTTCCAACACCTCTCAGGTGGACACCATTGCCATTCGAAGAGAGGAAGGTGTTCATGGTGAGTTTTGACACCTTTGTTTCTGGAAAAATAGCACTGGGTGTGGAGTTGAGTTTACCTTATTGTGTCAGTGAGTGTTTTTTTCTTTCCATTAAACTTTCTCCCATATTTCCTGATCTGAAAAATCACCATGGGAAGAAGCTGCTCATGATGTCTCTTTCTGCCTTTAACTGAAGCTTGGGAGGCTGGGGTAACTTGCTTCCAAGTGCCTAAGGCTGGTGTGCTTCTTCCCTTTTGCTTAAAAAACACCAATAGCTCTCTGCAATTATGTCTTTAAAAATAAATATGCAATTTAATAAAACGAACAGTTGTCAGGGGCACTGTAGGTAACCTCTCTCCAGCTTCCCTTGCTAACAGGAAAGGCCAACTGAAGACATCGAAGGTTTTTCAGGAAATGTGAGCACCTGGGAAGGCTGCAGAATGTAGAAGGAAAGAAGAGACACTCACAAAATCTCTTGGCCACATCAAAATAATTGCAACAACCCCTCCACATTTCATGCATGAAAATTTCACTGAAATTTTCTTTCAGCTTTGACAATTTTCAAATGCTTTCTCCCCACATGAGTTGATGGAGAATGGATAAAAAACATGGAAGACGTTTTGGGTACAGTACTAACACAATGTAAACACTCACTCACATAAGTAAAGTAACGTGTGAAGCAGCCCTGTCTGCAGTTGAAGAATGAAATGGTTTGTAGTTTGGTTAAAAAAGAAAATTTTACCTGTCTGAAGCGTAGCCTAGGTAAAATCCTCCTACCAAAAAACCGAGATTGAGGAGAGACTGTGTCATATCTATTAGCCATCTGTCCTCACAAACAAGGTTGTACTGTGGGAAGAAGAAAAAGATACAGTAAGTTTCTGTAGAAGATAAAGTTTTTATTTGACAAAAGATTCCAGTCTTGAAAACAATATCCGAGGGAGGCTGCAGGAGAAAGGGAATCACTGTAAAAATTGCCTCCCTCCTTTTTCCCTTCACTGCAGCAAAAAGCCTTCTGTGACTAGAGATACACCTAGTCTTTTTAAAAAGGGAACTGAAACATTAGAATTGACAGTCTCTATATAAACTATGCCAGGTTTATATAGAACTAATGTTCAATTTAAGAAACTTATAAAACTATTTAGGATCATATTTTGATGGTGGCTGGGCCTGTGAAGTCTTACCCTTTACAGATGTCATAAAAGAATCTCATATGAAGTTAGGTCCAAAATATATTTGCTGCCTGAGGCAAAAGACAAGATGGTGCCTCCCCCCCCCCCCCGCCATTCCATGTACACAAGCCAATACTGGTAATGGGGCAGCGTCCTCCACCATATTTGAGGTCAGCAGGCTAGCTTAGAAGGTGAACGGCAGGCCTAGTAGCACAAAGAGCTCTACCCTTCAACAACTTGCTGCTGCTCCCCACCTCAAGCACCTGCTGCCTGAGGTTGCCATCTTCCTGTCTAATGGTAGGGTTGGCCATTGTTTTTCAGAGGATCATCCCTGGAAGGCCTTAATGAAAATATAAGAAATGGGGGCAAAATGGAGGGAGTGATAGGTAAAGTGAAGACAGAAGGTGACGAAATGTAACTAAAGAAACACATTGTAAGCACCCAAGTCTTGCCTGCTGTGACATTCTTGCCAGGAACAAGATATGGGGTGGGGTGGGGTGGAAATGCCACTTTGAATAGAAACCATCTGGCTTTGTCAGTCCTTGAGCTAACTTTGGTTGATACCGTATCATCTACATGATAAACATGTCTTAAACTCTGTTGTACTTCTAAGACATCACAGATAAACACTGTTTGTTCTTCCAGTGTTCAACACCTATCTCCTGACTTAGTGCTGTGAGTGAAATGGTTCTGACTTTTTGAGCACATCCAAGAAAAAAAAAAAGTTTAAAAGAGCTAAGCAAATCTCCATCTCAGTGCTCTGATTTGTAATCTTGAAGATTTCATGAAATAACTTTTTGGAAGGATTTAACCCAAACCTACTTCCAAGATTCCAGTGGGATAGCCTGATTAATACCAGTTGTCATAGAGAACTAGTGACCTCAGTCTCTGAAAACTTGCATGAATACAATAAAACTAGTATTAGCAATAGACAGATTTTGGAGAATGCATAATTATTTAGGAGCATGATTTTTGCTTCGTCAACATGAGAAGAGCTTAAACTCTTCAACACACCGTTATATCCTTGACTGAGATCACTAATTAAAATAATAACATAATGAATGTAATTAATTCCAACACTGATTATCTGAGCAATTCCAGCAAGAACTAACTCCTTTTTAGCACTCCATAGCATTTTATTTATTTAGTTTTAGTCTCACATTTAAACAGTCATATCTTTTTAGTAGGGCCAGTTCCCATGCTAGATTACTCAGCTTTTTATTTGGTATGTTAGGGTGTTTTTTTCCCTTAAGGGTGGTATCTGATACATAGAGTAGACCCATTGAAACCAATGCTTTTAATTAGCCATATTTGAATGCTACATTTTAGCATGATAAGATCCATACATGGGATAGATCTGCACATTAACTTTGTGTATTGTACATTTTTTGCATAATTTTTGGTATGTAGGTTATATAGCATGTATGAAGGAGGGTTAATTGTAGGTGATGTTACAATCAACAGACTTTTATCACACATGGGCCTATATATGTACCAGGAAGAGAATCTAATTCACAGTATGTTCATTAGAATGTGTAGAAATGGTTTCAGTTAGCATGGAACTAGGATTGTTTATGATGGGTTAATTTGATTTCTGAAGTTAAATGCTTATAGCCTAAACATGTGCAAAATAAATATTATCTAGTCCAGTGAGAAACCATAAAAATATCTAAATGGGGTACCAAGATTCCTTGCCAATTGTTTATTTATATGAAAACACTGACACAATCAATATTTTGAGAGGGGGTGTTGCTTTCTTGTATTTGATTGACAATTGATTTATTGCATTTTGCTGTCATTTTATTGTATTAATAAAAGGTTTGAGGACCTTTGGGATGAAAAGCGGTATATACATGAATGGATAAATAAATCCTGCTGTCCTTAGAGCTAAGTAAGGTCTGTGTATCGATGGGGAATGTAGTACTTGGCCCTTAAAATAGCTTCAACAGCAACAGTAATGTTTCATATAGGACTTTATTATGTTGCTGACATCAGTATGTTCTAAACAACTGCATTTCTTCTTCTAGGAAACCAATTATCTTCCCACAAAGGGCATGTTAATCTGGCAAATGTTAACTTGGCAGAGCGAAAGTGTTTGCAGGCAGCGGACCAGAATGTATCCTCCATGGAGGACCAAGTGTCAAGATTACAGCAAAAACAAAGCAGCTCCAGGCGTAACTTGACCCGAGAGCTTGGTAAGTACTTCCAGAAGTTTGACTCTGGCTTAGGGGAGAAACACCCTGGGGCCTGGATGAAGAACCTTCAGCCTTTCATACTTTGTTGGACTTCAGCCACTAGCCAGAATGGCCGATGGTCAGGGATGGAAAAATTGTAGTCTAACATCTGCAGGGCCACAGGTTCCCATCACCGCTCTAGAAGCTCTCTGTGCTCTCTCCTGGAGGCCTGCTACTGCTCTCAGAGAACCGCCATCTACTGACCATCTACTGACCAACCAGCCAGCCAGCAATCTAGTGGGATAGTTGGCTTATATAACTAGATAGATAGCCATTAACCTCAGAATGCACATAGGAAATCATGTGCTGTCACAACACTATGATTTTCTTGAATGCATTTTTTTTTAGTCAAGGGTGGAGGAGGCAAAACTTCATGCCTAGGCTATGGACAAGGCTAGGCTTCAGGCATGAGATTCCTCACCTACAGGTGTAGGAGAACTGTCTCCTTGTGCTAGGAGATTGGGGCAAGCCTTCTCCTAAGCTAGTCATTAAGGCTGTGCTTGCTTAGTGAGGGCTAAGCCCCATCAGACACAGCAAGACTTACCTGAGTAAACATGCATGGGATTGTGCTACATATTGCAATAGGGAAAAACACATGCAGAGACTGAAGAGTTATAAGAACGTCTGGATTGGTAGTTATATCCAGACAGCCACAGAGCTTTCATTTCTCTAAAAAAGTTGATGTGACTGCATCCCAATGGTCACCATCTACATTACTAGGAACACTGCTTGAAGGAAGAGGTGAAGTAGTGGAGCAGGATTTTCCACCCCCAAAAGTAAGCAGTAAGAAATACTTGCTGCAACAGTAAATGTTTCCTCCACATGCATCATTTGCCTTTGGTTTGGCAAAAGGTAGGAGGGCCGGTGGTGCTGTGGGTTAAACCACAGAGCCTAGGGCTTGCCGATCAGAAGGTCGGCAGTTCGAATCCCCGTGACGGGGTGAGCTCCTGTTGCTCGGTCCCTGCTCCTGCAAACCTAGCCGTTTGAAAGCACGTCAAAGTGCAAGTAGATAAATAGGTACCGCTCCAGCGGGAAGGTAAATGGCGTTTCCGTGTGCTGCTCTGGTTCGCCAGAAGTGGCTTAGTCATGGCCACATGACCCGGAAGCTGTGTGCCGGCTCCCTTGGCCAGTAAGGTGAGATGAGCGCCGCAACCCCAGAGTCGGCCACGACTGGACCTAATGGTCAGGGGTCCCTTTACCTTAGGAGGGCCACTGGCCACAGGTACAACTGCTGTTGCATTCCCAGCCCTCGCATGCTTTGCAAACAAAAAGTCCCTGATTCTTGCTCCATCTGCACTATGTATTTGAACATGCTACTACAGTCATGGCTTCCCCAAAGAATCCAGGGAACTGAAGTCTGATAAAATTGCTGAGAGTACTTAGAATACCTCTGTTGCCCCTGTAGAGAAACAGTTCCCCAGGAAGAGGGATTGATTGTTAAAGCGTTCTGGGAATTGTAGTTCTGTGAGGGGAAAAGGGGTCTCCTAACAACTCACTGTGCCCTTAACAAATTACAGTTCCCAGGATTCTCTGGGGGAAGCCATGACTGTTTATAGTGGTGTGATACTGGTTTAAATGTATAGTGCAGATGGGGCCTCAGTCTCAGGTATCTCTTAGTTATAGTATAATAATCAAATATCCAATTAGAACAGGGAAAGGTCCTTGTCTGCAACCCTGGAGAGCTGCTTCCAGTCAGCATGGAGCATTTGTCTTCAACTGGTGGTTTGGGACTAGGGATGAAAGAGAACTACAACTCGTTGAAAGCTGAATATATCCAATTTCCCCTTTCCAAAATACCGTAAGAACTGAAATGCACCATCCTTCAAAATGCACAAGTATCCAAATTTTGCAGTGCTGTTCTCCAATTGAAGCTTAATACAATGCATATGTTAGTGGAAATAGTGCATAAAAATAAATATATTGGTGAAAATAGCATGCAAAATGCTTAACATTAGGAGAAATTGTTTGCAAAAATGTGCACATTTGTCAAAACTGTTTCCAATGCTGTGTTGATTGGGATAAATTTGCACTAAAATGCTGAAGAATTTTCACGAGGATTTTTAAAAAGACTGGAAAAATGAGAAACTATGGGCCCGTCCATACTTTCATTTGTTCCACGATTTCAAGTCAAGAGTCCAAGAGGGGTTTTTTTGTCCTGCGACTTTCCCTGGGAAAACCCACTGTTTACTGCTGAAATCTGAACAAACATCAGTCCGCAGACTGACATAAGGTATGTCACAACAGCAACATTACCACCATGCAAATAACAAAAGGAAGACATGGGTCCCTAAATGCATGTTGGGACTAAAGGTGAACCCAAGATTGGGAAAGTGTGAAGACCTCAGGCATACAGTAGCTTGATAGGCTGATGGCCCAGCTCAGTGTAACACAGCTTCCTGTGTTCATTACAGTGTCTGAAAGCAGCTACTAATGCTACCATATCCGCCTGTCCTTAAATCTGTCATATTTCAGTGTTAATGATTAACAAAATGTTACCACAGACAACCAAAGCAGGATTAAATCAAAAAGATCACTGTCCTTTTTCTCATTCTCTAATCACCCTCCTGCCTCCACCAGCAACATTTCAGCAAAACAATTTCTACTGTATTTATCTAAAGAATGTATTGATATGAGCTCCAGGAAAGAAAATGAACAATATCTAAAATACTGTAATATATTTCTATTTCTATCTTAAAATGTATACCAGATCTAATTCAAACAGAACAAAACTAGTTCTGGAAAGTTATAGTCCACAAGTGTAATGTGAATAAGATACTATTAAAAGTGGGTTCCCTTTTACTATTCTGGTGCAAACTAATATCACGAAAGTTAGTGACATAACTTGCATACCTGATCTGCTCCTCCTGTAATTGTGCTTTCTACAGACTACTCCCTAAATAAATGCTGTTCTAACTCTGGTACTGTTTGTTTAATTATTTAATCAGTTGCTTTTATTGTTCTATTTGATTTACTGTGTTTTAGGTAGTTTGCAATCTGCAATGAGGTCACTACCTCAGGCAAGAGATGAGTTAGGAATACGAAAGATAAATAATGCAATACTTTTCTTTATTTCAGGACTTGCATGTGTTCCAGTCGGTGCTGAGGAATATTTGAGCACCTTTTAATAATATCTTGTATTTTCAACAGGCATTGCTTCTTTATTGCACTATGCTTTGGTGCAATTTAAGATCTCCTGGTGCAAACTAATTTAGGTTACGATCCTAAATGGGCAAGTTGGTTTAAGTTCTCTTCCTTAGTTTGCAAAGAGCTTCCTTCAACATCCAAAATTCACATATCACAGATGGATATCCACCGTAACCTGTATCAGCAACACCTTCTTGTTCACTTCCCCCCACCCTCTTTTTTGTTGTTCTACAACCTGTCTAAAAAAAGTTTTGTGAAACTCAAAAGCTACTTGCGCTGTTTATGACTTTCAGCCCATCCTAAAATATTAAGTGGTTGTTGTGCATTGGATTTTTTCTTAATGGACCAACACAGCTAGCTGCATTTTTCATACTTGATTGTTGGTGTTTTATGTTTGCTCAGTTATTCTCATTTTATAAATGTCCTTGCTGGCATAGTGTTACTTTCCCCTCTCTTTATTATGGCTGAAAATAATAAAATTGATCTGAACTCAATTTTAGATTTTCAACTTTAAGATCACAAGAAACTGCCTTGTACCAGGTCAGATTATTTGTCTGTTTAGCCTAGTTTTGCTGACAGGCAGCAGTGGGTAGAATTGGTTCCCATCACTAACTATCTGATCCTTTTTTGCAATGCCAGGGATTAAATCTAAGACCTTCTGCACGCAAAGGATGTGTACTACCAGTGAGCCACACTCCCTTCCTAATGTATTGTCGAATGATAAATGACAAGAAATTCATCCAGAGAGATATACACTGTTTATCTGAATTGGTGCTGCCCTTCTATACAACTGTTTTGCCTCAGTTTCCAAGAGGAGTCATTTACATATATTCTATTAGCCCATCCATTATCTGAAATGCCATAGCTCTCATTATACTCTTCGATTTCGAAGAGTCAGTAGAAATGGCTCAGTTTTGGAATTTGCTGACATATTAAACACATTAAACACTGGCACTGCTGTTTAAGGTTACCTATGAAACTTTCCAATTGCTGTTGTGGAGAAGATTAATTATCTGTGTCAACCCACCATAGTTTGCACTCCAGACTTCTTCTTTTATGTATTTTATAGTCCTGTATTGCTAATGAAAACATGGCTGGAGGATGTATTTTGAATTCTCTTACCTCGCTGGCAATAGTTGAATGAGGTTCTTTGTAGAGCCAGCCATCCCGGCGGCATGTTGTAAGTGACACATTGCTCAAGCTGCTGCTGGTAAGATGAGACAGTGGGTTGGTACAGCTAGAAGAGGTGTTATGCCACTCCATGTCATACTTCTTGCATTGGGAAGAATCATTCACCAGACTTGAAGCTCGAATGGTAACGTTGTACTCCTCTTCAAATGTCCATCCACATTGCTTCCTTAATTTAGATGCATAAGGAACCCTGCACCAATATTGCTCTGGGTCCCGGCCAAGGAACACAACACCAACAAATAAGAAGGAAAAGGTTATACCAGTCTGGCAAAGGAGGAGGAAGACCCGCTTTTGAAACCTTCCAAATTCCCCAGCCTCTTTTAGAAACTCTTCAAAAGACGGCATTGTAGACAGTTCCTCCCCTCCCCCAAGTCAGATGAATCCAAGAGGTGACACAGCGTCAACAGCTCTCAAACTTTGTGGCTGTTGCCGGTGCTTCCTATAAATCATGTACGCGCAATCTCTCTCTTCTTTCTCTGTCTTCCTCTCTGTCTCCCTCAGCTACACACACATGCAATCAAGTAGCAAAAGCAATGCCGGGGCAGAGCAAAGTTACACACACACACACACACACACACACACACACACACACGAGTTGTACTGTCAGTTTGGCACAATGCTTACGCACAGAACTGTAGGATTTCACTATACACTTGGCACGCATGCTGCCCCAAAGAAGGGGGCGTATATATTTTTTCTGTCTACCCAAAGGAGAGATTATGTAATCAAAATGGTTAACTCTTTAGGGACATGCAAACAGCCGAATATAAAGCAGAACTGTGGTCGTTTCCCATAAAAATTAATCCACATTTGTCAAATTGAACAGAAATTATGGGAAAGGATCCACTTTTTTAAAATCCATTAAACTTCTCCCTCCCCAAAACACTTGGGTTCTTGCTACTGTAGCGGTTAATTAACTTATTTCAGTTGGTAATTGGAATAGATAACCACATAGGTTACTGCCAAGAGGTTATAATGTGGGTCCAGTGGTGTGAGGGGGAACCAGACACGGAAAATATCAGCTGCTGGCAGTTAGAAACAGTGGAAATGAAGAAAAATGAAAGAGAAAAGAGGTGAAGCGAAAAGGTAGCTAGAAGAGTCACTACTAAGAAGATGAGGAGCAATCATGGGCGTCCACAAGACATTTTACTGAAGGGGCAAAGTAAATACTTCAAATTAATAAATAAACATGCGTAGTTGAAAAGTGAGAGCAGGCAAATTTTTCACTTTAAAAAATGAGGAGAATGGTGCCTGCACTATTTGCCACATTGCTCAAAAATGAATGCTGGAAATATGGGAATTGTGGTTCATTTGGTGGCACAGGAGGTTGTTCCCCTCCCCACTGGGCACCCATGCAACCAAGCATGGAACAACAGAAACTTTAAGGGAACCTTCAAGTCAGGCTGACTGACTGTCCTCTATCTATGATAGATAATTGGCAGTGTTGCCACAATAATCAAAAAATGGTTTGGGGTGTGTGTGCTCTATCATGTTTTCGTTTTCTCGTGTTTATGCTTCTTAATTAAAAGTTTTTCCTGTTTAACTAGAGCAGTGCACAAATTAACCACTCAAAATTACCCAACCATTTCTGTGAGCAGGAAAACTGTGGTGCGTGGGGGGAGGCAGGGAATATTTTAGTAAATTTGTCCAAGGGAAGGGGAGGAGAAAAGCCCCAACAATTACGGGGGGGGGGCTCACCAGCGGGAGTAGCAGAGCTACTTGCTTGGTTCCCCTAAAAGATTTTTGCTTGTGGCAGTGGCCACAACTGTAGTTGGAGGCCTGGGAGTCATTTTGCACCTTCCACAATGCCCCAAATTTAGCACGGTTCCAGGACATTAAAGGGGGTGGGAGCAGAGAGACACCACAAAAAATGGTGGAGAATATTTAGGCAAAGTTCTGCAATACTGCCTTCTTTTAAGAGGGAGACAGGGCTCTACTTGTCTTATAAAATATATAACAAACCATGGCAAAGTGACCATGCACAGGCAATGTATACAGAGCAGTGGTTTTTCAACCAGTGTGCTGTGGAACCCTGGGCTGTCTGGAAAGATGGTCAGGGGTGCTGCGGGCAAACTGGCCTCTGTCCCTCTTTCCTTCCCTCCCTCCTCTGATGCCCTCTCACATCTCTGCCTCCCAAAGTCTTGCACAGCTGTTTGTTGCAGCAACTCTGGCTACAAGCTCCCCAGGTCAGGGGTTAGCAACCCTTTTCAGCCGTGGGCCGGTCCACCATCCCTCAGTCCATGTGGTGGGCCGGACTATATTTTGAAAATAAAAATAGAAATGAACGAATTCCTATGCCCCACAAATAATCCAGAGAAGCATTTTAAATAAAAGCACACATTCTACTATGTAAAAACACCAGGTAGGCCCCACAATTAACACAGAGATGCATTTTAAATAAAAGGACACAGTATACTGATGTAAAAACATGCTGATTCCTGGACAGTCTGCGGGCCAGATTGTGAAGGCGAATGGGCCGTATCCGGCCCCCGGGCCTTAGGTTGCCTACCCCGGCCCCAGGTGAATGGTGTCTCTAGGGCTGGCCAGAGGGTGCTTCCCAGGCCCCTGTGGAGCAGTGGGAGGAGGCACCTCTCTTTGGGGCAGGCAGCTCAGAGACCAGGGGCGGCTGCCCAGAGGACTCCCAAGGAGCGGGGAGAAGAGAGGAGGCCGAGGGAACGCTCCACAAGAGAGGGTGTTTGAAAAGGGGTGAGGGACTGACAACTCTGCAGGCAAGGGGTGACACAACTGGGCACCTGAGCCCCACAGAGGTGCTGCAGAAAGAATGTAGTTGGTCAAGCAAGACATGGACTGGAAAAGGTTGAAAAGGTTTTGCTTCTTTTACGTCATCACTTCTATTTTCTTCTTTCTTCTTCTGTCTTTTCATTCCTTTTCCAAAAGGTGGCAACACTGGATAGATTTAGATATATCCCACGCCTCGGGGTCAGCATAACAACTTGTAGATTAACCCTAAGACATGGGAAATGTCATTTTTCCATCAGCTGTATCCACAGGGTTCCCACCTTTTGAAAAGCATAATGTTGTTATTTCCATGGATTTAAAGCTATTTTTAACCATTCCATTAGCTGATGTAAATACCAGCCATTACAGAATAGTAGTAATAACAAACTTGCTCTGTAAAAGGACAGGAATCCCTGGGCACATCTGTAGGCAGAAGGCTAAAATGGGAAAGAAAGATCAAAGAGAGTCAGGGATTCAGTGTTAAACTGATGTTAGGGGAAAGAAAACTTCAATTAAACGCACAATAAAAGATCCCAAGAATGTTTTGTGTGATAATATTGTTGTCAAGTCATTACATTCCAATGTTTTCCATTTAATCTTCCTTTGCTTTTCTAAAAAACATAACGTGTGTGTTTTTAAAACAACCAAACACCACTGCAATGACAGCCCACACTGGCACCACAATTATGTTATTTTTTAAAAATGCTACAAATGAGACCTTGGTGGTGGGGACCACAGGAGAAAAAGACAGAAAATACTGGAATGTCATGGTTTGGCAATCACGTTGTCTAGATCTTCTTTTGAAAACAAGCAAATGATGGCAATTCCAGAGAAAAGAACAAACATGGAATTAAACCACTGTTTGCCTACCACTTCAAATTCTCTGCCTGAAACAACCTTAAAATATTTCAGAAAGAAGAAAATCAGCAGGTACAAAATTGAAAAATTGTTTAAAATACAATGAAGTAAGAGTAGGAAAACTTAAACCCAACACCCTTTTTGTCCCCATATTTCCAAATAAGGAACTTTAAAAATAAAGGTCAAAGAAGACCCTCCTTATCCCCTTTGGAAAATAAGATCGAATAACCATGCAAAATGAAAAGAAGTATGCTGCTGCAAATTTACCTGATATTATATTAAATATGAGAGAGACTTGACCTTATGCCTGGGAAACTGACATTGGCAGCACAATCCTACACATGTCTACTCAGAAATAAGAACCACTGAGTTCAGAAGGGTTAATCCTAAGTAAGTGGATATACAGTTGTAGCTCGACTGTCTTCTCTATCAAGGAACCTGGAATTGACTTCATTGTAAGGCGCAGTGATGCCAGAACCAGGAAACCAGGTGTGTGATACTTCCTCTCCCTGCTGGCTGCTCCCGATGGGTATTTGGCACTCATTAACGATGTTTCAGATCCTGCACAAGCATGCAAGAGGATCAATTTAAAGTGTACTAAGTACTGGCATTTGATCTACACAAAGCTGCATTTAATTTGTCAAGCAGCCTCTGTTGGGGAGCTAAAACTGGTTAGATAGGCTACATTGTGGGGAAGCAGGTCACATCAAATAATACAGACTCTGAGGAGTGTGTGTGTGTGTGTGTGTGTGTGTGTGAAAAGAATAAGGATAAATGCTAAAATGCCATGTAACTATCCACTTGCACATTTTTATATTTTCTCCTGAACTAGTTCACCTGGCCACCGAGATCTTAATTTGAGGCTCTCCTCTTGGTGCACTTTCTGCATTATATTTGTTGATTTATTGAACTTGCATTACTTTCAAGAAATCACAAAGCAATTTCCATATATAAAAACACATGCTTTTAAATATAAAAATCCAAATACTACTACTAATACAATTCATCACATTAAGAAATATAAGCAAGAGACCTGTACACAATGTACTTAAGTAAAATAAAAAACAAAATGCACATAACAAAATATAGAGTATTTATTAGCAAACTACCACTCCAAAATATGACAGCAAGCAGGAGGTCCAGAAGTCAACATTCCAAGGTAGGCAAGAGGTTCATAACTGAGCAGAAGCAATGAAGATTTCCTGACAGTTATCATAGTCTCATACTCATTCGACTCCCTTTGTACCCATCACATCACTCCATTCACTCAATTATCACTTCAGAAAAACTGATCAGGCAAGATAAAGGCTATGTAAGGTGTGTGATGATGACTGGATCTACATTTTAACATCAGTTCGCATTTTTTTAAAAGAATGCTATCTCCAGATGTTAATGAATTACAACTCCCATCAGCTCCAGAAAGCATAGTCAATGGACAGGGATGATGAGAGTTTGGCCATCTGAAGGCCAAAGATTTTGCATACCTGATGTAGAGGAGCGGGGCTGTGTACCAATCCCCAAATCATGGGAGGGAGCTTTAGCTCAAGAGTAACCAACCCGATGCCATCCAGATGTTCTTGGATTCCAGCTCTTATCAGCATCAGCCAACCTAGTCAATGGTCAGTGACAATGGGAGCTTAAGCCCCAAAATATCAGGAGAACAATACCTTAGCTAACCCTGCTTCAAACCTTCATGTGTTGAGCGCAAAGATCTGAAGGGAGATTCTTACTGTGTTCAGCTGAGCATGCTTAGGGGGTTTTCACATCATAACAGACCTTGCCAATCACAGGGGAGATTCTAAGCATGCTCAGCTGCACACATTTAGTAGAATCCTCCCTCAGACCTTCACACTAAACACTCCAAGGTCTAAAGTGGAGCTGACATGTGTGGGGACACTGGGGCTGAATGGACTTAGAAGTCTGTTTCAGACCTTCATGTTCAGCACACAAAGGTCTGAAGTGGAGCCAACATACGAGGGGGTGTTGGGGTTGATGCTTTCTTGCCCTGTGTCACTTTAAGCCCTGATGCATTCCATATAATGCATGAATAGGGCTTTAAAGTATGTCT